TATATTTCATATTATATATTCTATTTTATATTTCATTTTCTATATTCTATATATTATATTTTATATTTTATATCTTACATTTTATGTTATTTTGTATTTTATGTTATTTTAGATTTTATGTTACTTTATATTTTGTATTATGTGCTTTTATTTTAATTTATTTTATCATTTTATTTTATTTTGTCAGTGAAGATAGGGTCAGTAACAGGTTAGTATATTATGGCTATTGGGGTAAAATGTGAAACAAATCTCTCTGGAAACACTCATTTTCAATTTCTGAGCCTTAAATACATTTGGAACTGTAGTGCTGGCCAGACCTATGGGAAGTCAAACGTTTCTTAAAACAGTCTCTAGATATGTCTTACTGCAGAAGTGAACAGGTTTCTACAAGACTGTAAGCTCTAGCTTAGTTCCAAATCCATCATTCCTAACTTCATTTTTCTATAGCAAAGCTCTGTGTACCTTTGGAACCTTTGCCTGTTCAGGTAGTGGGAAGGATGACTGTGAGCCCCAAATAATAGTGAAAAAGCTGCCTATTCCTAGATAATTCTCTGCTAATTTCAGACCACCTTGAGAGGATCTTAACCACAGTGCTGCAGTAGAAGAAAAGAACAATCAGGAAGGGAGAGAGTATTTCAAATGTCCCTCTATTCCTTTTTTTCTTCCTTTCTTCCCAGTGCCAGTAATAGAATTACCCTTTTGCCCTGGAGTTTAGTTGCCAACTGAAGTAAATTAAAACAAACTCAGCTGAGCTGCAATAGGGAATCAGGTAGCTCTAAGGGGACTTTGAATTACCAAGAAATGTGTGGAGTAAGTAGACAACTGAGGTATGAAAAAAAGGACCAAAAACTATTACATTTGAGAAGGTCTTAGGATGAGAGGAGAAAAAAGGAAGTGGGGGGGGAAAAAAAAAAGGGAATATATTGGTCTTTGAGTTGCACTATGGAGGTCACCAGGCTTTAGAACTTCAGCCTGAACCTTCCTTGCCTCACGTTGGTCCTCTCCAGTTCGAGGAGCTGCTGTTCTGCTGTGCTACCCTATGGCATGCCTTGAAAAAGTAGAAGCAGTGACGTGGTCTGATAGGATTGTGTCATCATTAGCTGTCAAATTTCAACACCTTTCTGTGCTTGTTTTCTTGTCAGACACTGCACATTTCTGCAATCCTGGATGAGGAACCAGAGATGGATGAGCACTTTGTTGTCACCCTGTTCAATCCAACTGGAGGAGCCAGACTAGGGACAAGAGTGCAAACGATGATTACAGTATTACAGAATCAGGCTCCACTCGGGCTTTTCAGCATCTACCCAGTTACAAATAGGTACTAAACATTCATGATTCAGTTAAAAGGAGATATTTTTGTATTCGTTAGAGATTTTGGTTTTGATTTGTATTCAGCAGAGATTTTGTTTTCAATCAATCCCTTTAACCAAATTCAGCTATCCAAATGTAAAATGTTCGTAAATTTGAAGAGTACACTCTCTGCCAAATACTATGACTGTTATGGAAAAGAACAGAAAGTCACGTATAATGGACTACTCATCATTAGAAATGTCAATTTTTCTATGAAGTTTTTTCATAAAGCAGTACTTCATTACTCCGTAAATATTCCACTAACAGTAACCTATGTTAAGAGTTCCAAACCTCCTAGTCATAGATTTTATAATTTATTTTTGGTTTCAAGCAGGCGTAAAATCCACTTTCACTTAGGGCTGGTTTTCAGAAGCAAATGAACCATATGGAATTACATTTTTACCAATCACTGAGCTTAAACTGTACAGCTGGTATGTTAAATTTCAGAACAGGTTTAAGAGTTTATTGAATTTCCTACAATTTTGCGAAGATATTGTGGTTAAGAAACATTAGACAACCTTGATTAACAAAGTTATCAGTCCATCAGATAGCAAAACTAGTTTTTTTATTATTATTATTTCTGTTGTGACTTCTGTGCTGGAATTGTACTGTAAGGACCTTCTTCATATGCTATGAAAATAACACTTTTTTTCCCTTTATTTTCACAATTCTCATGTTTAGGACAAATTTCCTCACAGTTGAAGAAGCCAATACTACAGTTTATTTGAAAGTTTTGCGGAGCAATGGGCTCAACGTGTCTGTGAGTGTGGAGTGGGAGACGTTGTCGGATACTGCATTTGGCATCAGTACGTTCATTTTATCAAGCGTGTCCACTGCTTTTGTCAGAGTGGAGATAGCCAGAGAGTAGACAAACTTACAGGACATGTAGCTTTGGAATCTAAATTCACATATTCAGACCTGATTAATGAATGTTTTTCTGAGCATGCCAAAATTCATTAAAGAGCTTGAGAGTAACATTATCATCAGTCACTTTTGCCAGAATTTCAGTAATTTACTGCTCTCCCTGCTGCTTGTAGGAACTTTATTGTCACTAGAATTTCATTTAACAAAATTTGAGGTTTACTACTTGTAACTTTGAATTTTTCTAACATTGTTTTCTATCATTACTTCCCATTTATGGGAGTCTTGGGCTGAAGGGATCCATCGTTTCATCTCTACTCACTTGTTCCCATTTGCATGCTAAGTGTTTTTTTGCTCCCGTACCGATATGTGTATAGCTACTCACTAATCCGGACTATCTAACAAAGTGAAAAAAAGGAAAATGCCTGATTTTGAACGTGGATGAATACTCTGTGTGGCTCATCAGCTGGTCTAACCTGTATGTGGGTTTGGGAGTTTAGTTCTGGCATTGCAGTGGTTTTTTTCTGTAGGCCAGTCAAACGACTTAGGCAATCTAAGAATCTTAGTGCCGTGCCTGCTTATTGTGGGAAGGAGAAAAAGGAGAACAAATCATTTTTGTAGTTTCTGTCACTTTTTTCACTACTTGCTATTTAACTAATTTTCTTGCTAGCTGGATTCCAAACTGAATCATTCTGAATCAAACTCAAATTGCCTATGCATCTTCCATATGAAATTGTAATATATAAAGAAAACATGTATTGCTTAACTCTGCTAATGTCCCCAGTACTATAAAATTTCTGTGCATTTATATACACTTATACAAACTACTTAAAGACAACTTCAACATTTCTGGTATTAGGTCTGGCTTTTCAAGTAAAACATGAAAATAGCATTGCAAAAGACCTCAAGAACAAGCAATGTTTTCTTCTATTATATTGCAGGGGGTAGTATCAGTGTCCTGTCTGTCTTGCAAAGTTTTATGGAAGAGGCAGCATCTAGCTGGTGTTTCTTTACCTCTGGAGAAATCCTGTATGGTGTCCTGCTGCGTATGCCTCCAGCTACGTTTTCTACTATCTACCAATGGAAAGGAGTTTTTGTTCCTGTCGAGGTAAATGTTTGCTTGCAAACACCAAGCAAGCTACTCAGTAAAGAATTTAAATCTCAGTTTTTCTTTTTTTCTTTTTTTTTTAATTATTCTTCTCTTAGAATTTCAGTATGTGGAATCCTAAGAGCTGCGTGCCTTTCCAAATCCATGCCTCTCCCTACCTTGTGGTTACTCACGGAGGAGACAGGCAGGGATCTTCCAACAACAGTGTGTATGTGTTCATGCCTGGACCCAGGCTGTTGAAGGTAAATCTGTTTTACACACAAAATTATAAAATAGTGGATTTGGAGAGAACCTCAGTGCGGCCTCCAGTCCAGCCATGTTTTAGAAAAGAGCACTCTCTTCTCAGTTTGTTTGGGGCCCTAACGCTCCACATGGCTGCAGTGTTGTAAGTTTTCACAGCTTGTGGCCTACTGTGCTTTTATATTTATATGTTGGTGATGGGGGGAAATGACCTGGGAAGTGAGGAAATAAATTGTGGAGCAGTCATAGAGCATTTTCTTTAAAATGTGTGGTAAGTTTTATTAATTTTGTAAATAAATGCCACATATAGAAATGCATTTGTTAAATTGTAAAATTATATATATATATAATTTCATATATTTTATAGAGAGCTTTATATATGTTCATGCAGTTTTTAAAAACATATATATATATATAAGCTTGTCACTTAAGATGGCTTCCAAAAACCTCTTTTGTCACATTTCCCTCACAGATACAGACTGTCTCTATTTTGGATACCAGACATGTGGAACATTTTGCTGTAGATGAAGAAGACTATTTGATTTTTGTGAGTCACTCGACCGGTTCCAGTTCCATCCAGGTTAGGATACATTTGCCTTCCCTGGCTTTGATACAGGTAGTTTGATTAGTTTTGAGCTTGAAATGTGAAGGGATAATAAAATCCATACATATGTATTTCTGAAAAAATACGTTTTTATTATGGATTTATAAGACTTAAAATTCGTATTCTTTTGAAGAACAAGCATAGCTCTCTGAAGGAAGGTAGTTAGTTACCAGTGTGTTTCTATCTTAATGTAGGGTCCATCTTAGAAACTAGGAATTTAATTCACTGCAAGTCTTCCCAGTTTTTCATAACAACACTTAATTTCTCTTCTCTTGGTAGTAATTACGAAAGTATAATGACAAGAGTATTTCATATTTCCACAGGTTTTCCAGTGGAATAATGATGTATTTGTGCTGCATCATCAACTTCCACTTTACAGAGCTCTGAACATAGCCTTGTTTCCTAGAGGAGGCATCATGTACCTGCTAGTTTCTTTGTCAAATACCAGCCAGAACATGCTCTTGTACCACTGGGTGAATAATGAGTTTAGGAATCTTCATCAGTTACCAGCAAAAGAAATAAAACATATGGAGGCCTGGATTTCTGGATCTGATATCTATTTAATTACTGCAAAAGGTATTTAGCAGAAGATGAACACTGACTTTGCTGAGTATATGCTGGTTTGCTTGGTAGTGAAGGCATTTAGACAGGGATTAAGGTGATATTATTATTATTACTGTTGTCATTGGTGGTGTTGGTGGTCTTTTTATTATTATTATCATTATTATTATTTCTACTATTACTAGTAGTAGTAGTAGTATCATCAGCATTGTTGCTTTGATATTATCATTATCATTATTAAACCTTATTGTCCTTATTAAGGATTGGTGTCCCTGCCCATGGCAGGGAGATTGGAACTAGATCTTTAAAGCCCCTTCCAACCCAAACCATTCCATGATTTTGTGGTTACTGGCAAGTGAGAACCATTTTATCAAAACAATCTCTGTTTTGTCTCTCAGAAAATAAAATCATTTCATTCATTCTCAAATGCTTATGGAACTGGTGAAATATTTTCCCAAGAAAAACAGAAAACAACTCCATTCATGTAGCTGCTGATTGCATCTTTTCTAAGATTTTCTGAGCTTTGTCATGTGAAAACATCATTGGTCTGAAAAGTTCATTTGTTTTTTTTGTTGCAGACATGACATTTTAGTTGTTGTTTTTCTGTTTGCCTGTTGAAAAATTTAGGCTGCAGTCTATAGGTTTCTTTGCAATTGACTGTTGCCTACTGGCAATCAGTGTTCTTATATGTCAGTGTGTGCAGAAAAGCCCTTAAATTATGGTTGGGTGGGTGAATGATCCCATGGAGATCAGTCATGCCATGGAGTTATGCACCAAGTAAAAAGGAATATATTATAATTTTCTTCACTTCGTAATTAAAGCTCTAAGAATGCAGAAAAAAAAGAAAGTAAGTTTTGTTGTTTCTCTACTTTGCAGAATTTGGAAATTCTTCTGAAATTTTCATCTGGGAGACAGGGCAGTCTACCTTTAGGCACTTTCAGTCTCTTCCAGTCTGCGCCATAAGAAACGTCCATGTTTTCATGCCTCCTTCAGGTTTAGGTAAGACTTAAATGACAACATTTGTTCAAATCCTGGGAATTGCAGAAAAATATGCGCTCACTTTTTTGTATTATTATGCAATTTAAAAGTTACTATGATCATTTTGCTGCCAAGGACATTTCTGGTGTTACAAGGAGAACTTTTATATAAGTCACTGAATATTACTGTGGTTTGTTTTGTGTTTTTTTTTACTCCTTGCTCGATGTAGTTCACATTCTCCTGTCTGGTAAGGACACAACAACGCTGTATTCTTGGAACTCGGAAGGGAACCAGTTCTCTGTGATGCTGCAAGCCCCATATGCAGATCATATCACTTCAGCTACTGCAACGTCTCTGAACTCCAGCAAGAGCTTGATCGCTCTGTCCCAAGAGTCCAACTCCCAGATTTATGAGCTGACCACTGTCTCAAACCAGTCAGATTTTATACCTAGGTAGGTTTTGTGGGTTTTTTGTTTGTTTGTTTTATATAACTTTCTCCCAGCACCTGCCTTTGTTTTTCTGTTTTATACTGTTCTGGATACAGTGGAGAGCCTTATATACTTACGTGTGCAGTGTGCTTATTAACATTATAGAGAATTTTTTATAGGTAAGTGTTAAAATAGCCTGAGGTCGAGCTGCCTCACAGCTGGCTTTAAAACATGGCAAGAAAGGACTTGGAGCTATGACTTGATTTTCTTTAAGCTTTTATTTAGGATAAATTAAATTACTTCCATAATTTCAGTTGCTCTATGATCTATTGTAATAAAAAAACCCCAAACCGCCAAGCTCCCTTTCACCCCCCCCAAAAAACCCACACCCTTTAAACCAGGAGTGCTTTCTAAGTTCATTAATCAGCTATCCTCAGTTTATAATTATTTGATGTGTGCATTTTTATGCTAGTTCAGGTGAACTGATATTTGACCCTGGGGTCATGGAAGCTGTGGTAGCAGTCAATATCCTGGATGACGTCATCCCAGAGGAGGAAGAATGCTTCAAAGTGTGGTTGAAAAACCCTAAGGGAGGTGCAGAGATTGGTGTTCATGGTTTTGTTAACATAATTATTCCTTCCAATGACAATGCCTACGGAATCATTGCATTTGCTCAGGTAAAACTACTAAGGTGAATCATTACAGTATGTATTTATAATTTCTGAATAACAGAAAGCATAGTAAAACTCTGAGCTGGTGGATGCGACAGGGTTGATCTTCTAAAGTCGTGTAGAAACCCAAGTTAGAAGCTCTTGAACATCCATTTAGCATTGCAATAGGATCAGATGATAGAAACTCAGTCTGTCCCCATTCTGACATTTTTTAATCCTATTGCATTTAGATTGACACATTAGTTTATCAGCTTGGTTTGCAACAACTTAAGAATTAGGTTTTCACATGGCAAATATGATACAATCATGGAGTTGCTACTGCTTGGTTAATCAGGGGAATTAATTAAAAGGAATCTGAAGATCCTTTTCCCCTGAAAGAGATACTAACTGGGTTATGCCACAAGATGAGCCAGCTTGCCAGAACAAAATCATTTATTTGGAAAAAATGTCAGACTGAAGGTATTATTTGGAATATGTAATTCTTAAATCATCAAACACTGTAGAAGTTATCTAGACAGGCATATAGTAAATGTGTACTAAAAATATATAGCACAGAAGAATTGTTACTGAAATGAAACACTGCATTGCATTATGAGGAGGGTGAGTAACAGTAAAGTAAAAGCAGAAAAAATAAGTCTCTCTTGAAGGTCCCTTTATTTATTATCTACTTCGTGTGTTTTGGACATAAAATGCTGTACTGAAAAAAAACAACCCAAAACCTAAAAAAATGGAATGTTGGGCTTTTTGCCTTAGGATAAAGAAGCCAGACATTTTAAATTCTCCGTGAAACCTGGAAGAATTTAGTACCTCGAAAAGTTAGGACTTAAACATGTAATCAATGAACATGTATTTAGCTACTTAATAGTAGACTAACATATTGATGCCCAGTGTCAGTGGCCCCCATTGAATACCCAGATCCCTAAAGAAACTTTTTGTTATAAGGAAATATTGTTATGGTTCCACTATTTAATGTTTTCCAGAGTTCTTTATTTAAGCAAGTTGAAGAAATGGAACAGGACAGCTTAATCACCTTGAATATTGAACGTTTAATAGGAACATATGGACGAGTTACAGTAGAGTGGATCGCTAATGGGAGCATAAGTGATGTATTTCCAGCTTCAGGAATGGTACGTAATAACATCACTGGTGTTAGGGAAGCACTGACTGGGTTGTCTCAGACAATAGATGCAGATGTACTGAGGGAGAAGTACACGTCAGATTGCCCTGCTCTCCCGTTAATTCCTGCTTCCTGGTCCTTTCCTGTGATTCTAGCAGTCTGCACTTTTGGCTGGCGCATAACACCGCAGCATCATTCTTGCGCTTCTAGAACCAGATGCCCTCCAGGCACTAGAAATACGTATCTGTAGTATCCTCTCTTCCCTTCTTCCCACTGTGAGATCCAGCAGCTTCTGTCAAATCATTTGCGGAGGTGGGAATCTGGGGGCATTTGCTCTTCGTCCTGACCTTCTTAGTGCAACTGAGAGCTCCAGTGGCCTAGGAGAATAACACAAACTCCAGTTTTCCCTGTTTACGAGACTGTTCAGATTTCCAGCCACTCTTGGCATACTTTAGGAGCGATAGATGCCAGGTTCTTTAAGTCAAGGGCCTCCGTCTGGTGGCCATCTGTAGAAGACAGAAAGCCCTATGGCAAAATGGCCCTGTTTGCCTAAAGCAAAGACACAGCTGAGGGAGAACAGGGCCAAAACTTTACACCCAAAAATAATGGATCTGAAGTAAGATAAAAAATCCAGAGAAAAGCCAAGAAGAGGGAAAGTCAAGGATGCCAAAACAATCATACTGAAATTGTTAAAGCACTCCTTGAGCGTTCTGGGTGGAAAGCTACATGATTTCCCTCCACAAATTTGCACCTAGGAAGAGACAGAAAGGCAAAGTAAAAGCGTAATGCTATTCATTGAAAATTTCTATTTATCCTTCAGAGTGTGTGTAGCCTAAGTGTTTATAGACAGGTCTTACCTGGTGAGAGAGAGACCTAATTAAGTGACCAGGATTTTGAATTTAAAAATAATAGATAGACAAAGCATTTACCAATAATTTTATCTAAAAAAACCCAACCCCAAACTAAAACAACAAAAAAATCAACAAAACTGATGACTGGGCATTTCTTCAGTTAGCAGTGATTTTGATATATATTACGTGCTCATAACTCTTTTGGCGTATTCATATGGGGTGAATTGACCACGGCTGGCTGAGAACCCCCACCCAGTTGCTCTCTTACTCCACCTCCTCATCAGGACGTGGAAGAAAATAAGGTGGAAAAGCTTGAGACAAAGGCATTTTAATAAGCAAAAGCCACACATGGAAGCAAATCTAAAAGTGGAATTTATTCAGTAGTTTCCATCAGAGAGAGATGTGCAGACACTTCTTGAGAAGCAGGCTATGTCCTGTGTCTGCAATGGGAACAATACAGGAAATCTCAATTAAACATGAGGATTATATGCACAGCCTGGGTAATAAACAGGAGGAACTGGAGCTCTGTTGTGAGTCAGAAATTTATTATGTCATAGGAATAATTGAAACACAGTGGGACAACACATGGCTAGAGGATCATGATATGTGTCTATAGGCTGTTTCATAAAGACAGGTAGGGAAGAAGAGGAGGAGTCTCTCTTTAAATTAAGGAGAACCTTGAATGTGTAGCAGTCAACTACGGTGATTGTGGAGGCCCTGTTGAATGCCTATGGGTAAAGATCAGAGGGGTCATCCCCACAGAAGATCTAACAGTAAGCATCTGCTACTGACCTCCAAAGTAAGATAATAAGGACAGCAAATAAATATCTGTGTTACTTAAGCAAGCTCAGATCAACAAAATCCAGCTCTTACAGGTGATTTGCACTACCCAGATGTTTGTTAGAAGAACACAGCAGCAGCTCATATGCCATCTGTAAGTTCTGGCATGCATGAAGGACTGCTTCCTCATACAAATGTTAGATATGCCAACCAGGAATGGGGCACTGCTGATCTTAGAATCGTAGAATCATAGAATAATTCAGGTTGGAAAAGACTCTTGGGATCATCGAATCCAACCATTAACCCAACAGTACAAGTTCACCCCTAAACCATATCACCCAACACCACATCTAAGTGACACTTGAACACATCCAGGGATGGCGACTCAACCACCTCCCTAGGCAGTCTGTTCCAGGGTCTGACCACTCTTCCCGTGAAGAATTTCTTCTCTTTCTCTGAAGTATTTCTTCTCTTTCTTGCTGCTCACAGACCAAGAAAAACTGCTTTGTAATATATCAGTTAGTTACAGCCTTGGCTGCAGTGATCACGGTATTGTGGAGTTTGGAATTCTGCTGAGCATGTGGTGGAAGATGGGTAGTAAGACAAAGGTTTTAGATTTTAGAAGAGCAGACTTTAGCTCACTCAGAGCTCATCTGGGAGGGATTCCATGGGAAGCTCCCATGAAGGATGAAGGAGCTACTGAGTGCTGGGAGTTTTTCAAGATCTCTCTGTGGGAAGCACAAAAACAGTTCATCCCTTTCAGACACAAAGGAAGTAGGTGGAGAAGGAGACCTGGACCACTGGGCTAACAAGAACTTTGTGAAGTTCAGCAAGGACAAATGTAAGGCCTTGCACCTAGGCAAACATAAATTTGTGAGTGCAGCTCAGGCTGGGATCTAACTGGCTGGGGAACAGCTCTGTGGAAAGGGACCTGGGGGGTCTTTGTGGGCAAATAGCTCAATATGGGTGAATAATGTGCTGCTGCATCCCAGGAAGACAATGGGATGCTGGGCTGCATCAACAGTACTCAGCACTGGTCAGGACAAACCTGGAATCAGTACTGTGTTCAGTTTTGTCCCTGCTGTGCAAAAAAAGATGTGGACAGGCTGAAGAGGGTCCAGAGAAGGACCACAAGGGTGATCCAAGGATTGGATACAATTGGATACAATTACTGCTGAGGACATTCTGATTGGACACAAGAGGAAGATTCTCAAAATGGGAACAATCAGGCCTTGGAATAATCTACTCAGGGTACTGACACATTTCTCATAATTGGAGACTTTGAAGATTCAGATGGGCAGGTTGCTGGGCCATCTTGTCTAGACCATGTCTTTGTCAAGAAATGTTCAACCAGGTGATCCTTGAGATCCCCTCCAACATGAGATTCTATGATTCTGTAATATGATGATTGAATTATAGATATTTATATTTGTATATATGTGTGTATGCATATATATTTAATTGGTAGTGTTTTACAGAGAGTAAAACAGTTGGTGTAACATCATTAGGAAGAAGTTTGACTTTTCTTTTGCCCTCCCTCTGAAATTTTAGATTACATTTTCAGAAGGTCAAGCCCTGTCCACGATCACCCTGACAATTCTTGCGGATGGTGTTGCAGAGCTTTCAGAGACCGTGGAAATCACACTCGCTCGTGTTACCACTGTGGGTGTGCAGGATGCTGCAAAAGGAGCCGTCATTGACCCCAAAAGGGCAAGGGCTATACTCACCATTTTACCCAGTGACTCTCCACACGGTGTGATAGGGTGGCATATGGAGTCTCTCTTTGTTAAAGCCACAGAGCCAGAAGGTAAGTCTGTTTCTTGATTCATAGGGAAAAAAAAGTTTTTTTCAACATCAGCATTGTTGAACCTGTAACATTTTTTATATGTAATAAATATAAAATATAAAAAATATTTTACTTTTTATATTTTACATTTTAGATTTTATGTATTTTATTTATATATCAGGAGATGTAGTGATAGCATGAGGGGTAAGGGTTTCATACTGAAATACGGTAGGTGTAGATTAGATATCAGGAAGAAATTCTTCACTGAGAGAATGGTGAGGCACTGGAACAGGTTGCCTCATCTGAGGCAAACAGTAAGTTTGCAGATGATATGAAATGGCATGGGAATGTTATCATTCCTTGAAAGGAGGGTGTCGCCAGGTGGGAGTCAGTCTCTTCTTGCAAGTGACAAGTGGAAGGACAAGAGGAAATGGCCTTAAGTTGCCCAGGGAGGTTCAGATTGGATATTAGTGAAAATTTCTTCACAGAAAGGGCTGTCAAGTCTTGGAACAGGCTGCCCAGGGCAGTGGTGGAGTCACCATCACCAGAGATATTTAAAAGTCTTGTAGATGTGGTGCTGAAGGACATGGTTTGGTGGTGGACCTGGCATTGCTAGGTTAATGCTTGAACTCAGTGATCTTAAAGGTCTTTTCTAACCTAAACAGTCCTATGATTCTATGCTCAGGGAAGCTGTAGCAGCCCCCTCCCCGGCAGTCTCCAAGGCCAGGTCGGATGAGGCTTTGGGTGACTTAGTCTAGTGGGAGATGTCCCTGCCCATGGTGGCGGTGTGCAAACTAGATGATCTTTAAGGTCCCTTCCAACTAAAACTTTTCTATGATTCTGTTTTTTTTCTAGAAGTAATTTGTAGCAGAAATATCCTTTAAAATATGTAGCTGTGCTATTTCATTACACTCATTTTATGCTGTATTCTTCATTTGATTTATCAACATTATCCAGTCATTCTCGTAAATTGTTACAATATTGTAATTATTAAAATATTGGCATCTTATATTTCAAATCATTAATACATACAATGTTTCTATTTAGACAAACAGCTGAACCTGACCATTTAATGGGATTAATATATTGTTTAGAGTAACTTACACAGAGATTTTCATCATGAACGGGGTCAGAAAGGGAAGCTTTTTGTTCCGCAAGTTAGGGGAAGGTGGGAAGTAGGCAAATTTATGAAAAATATGCTTTCCATCAGAATATTATTGCAGATAAAACTTCCTCAAGTATTTTATTTTGAAGTGAATTATTATTGCCCCTTTTCTAGCACCTAGAAGTATTGTGAAGGCATTCTGTTATTTCCTCACATATCTGCCTCTTGCAAGCAGCTCCTGTACAATTAGTCAAGATGAAAGCCAAGCAGAGCAAGGGTTAAAACAATCGTGTCTTGATTATTTTTCTTTGTTACAGGGCAACTGAATTCAACTACTCTCACTTTACAAATTATTCGAGAACAAGGGTTTGTTGGAGAGATTGCAGTTCAGCTGAGCACTGCGCCCAACTTCGAACTCGCCCTCTCCAACCAGGCAACAGAGAATGAGGATTATATACTTGAAAAGAAGACAGTCATTATGGCGGAGAACACAACAATGACTTCTGTTGTAGTCACTATTTTGCCTGTGAGTAGCCTTGTGAGTAGCACAACTTTAGCTAAAAATATCATTGAAGGAAAAAGAAAATGGTACAAATGTAACAAAAGTAGGGTTTAGCATTCTAGAAGTGTCTAGGATGGGATTCTTCTCTCATCAGATGGTTGTATACTAGTAAGAATGCAGCCATCTGTTTCAAAGGAATCTGAGTATTTATCACTGACAAAATTCTTTGTTTTGCTGTAGTCCCAAGATTCACATATACTAATGACAGAGAAAAAATTATCAGTGTCATTGGTGCTTGCTCTTTTTTCAACTTGTTGCAGGTTTTTACAGAGGATCTATTTTACTTTACATGCCTCTTAACAGACTTTTTTTCTGTACTACAGGAGAAGTTAATTTTCAACCAAAGATATGTATGTTCTTTAAATATATTCAGAATGCTTTTCAAGTTCTGGCTTAGTTTTTGAAATCTAGCTGCTTTTCTTATAGATAGAAGAAACTGGTGACAGCCAGCAATACTTTGCACCTTTCTTACAGATCTGGAATTTGACTGCCAACTTAAATTTTTAAAACTCAAATGAGGTAGTACTTTTCACCTTTCATATGGTGTTAAGCAGGGGATTGGTTTTATGGTCCCAAGTGCTGAGAATTTTTGGACAGTAAGCAACCTACAAGTAGTCAGCTTTCTGCGTGTGTTGTAACTTAGCATGTTTTATTTAAAAAGTGGCATTTAAAAATGTTTTTGCAGGATGATGTTCCTGAATTACAGGAAGGATTTATAATTAATATTACTGTTGTGCAACTGGTTGATTCTCCCACTGGAAGTCAGCCAAGTGTGAAGAGGCTCGGGTTGGAAATAGCTGAAATAACAATCGAAGAAAATGATGATGCCAGAGGAATATTTGGTTTCAATGTTACAAGAGTAAGTAAATGTTGGTGAAAAATATTTATAGTAGCATTCCATCAGGAGAGTCTGTTTTTTCGTAGCAGTTTTGATAATGGTCTAATAGACTTTACAACATAAATTATTCTGGATAAAAAGTCCAGATACCAGACAAACAATTCCTTCTTAAAAGGTTCTTAGAAATTAGTAGATTAAATTTATTAGAGGACTAGAAGTGCTAAAACTTATGTCATAGAGTATTCTGAAAGGGACTTTAGCAGGTCATCTAATCCAGACTTTTGCCGATAACAAGGTCAATACTAAATTCAGACCAATTCGCAAGTCATTATGCAATTTTTCGATATTTGTCTAACCTGCAAGTCAATATGGGCAAAAAAAAAAAAGAAAAAAGAAAGAAAAAAAGGTTGCTGCGACACTCAGCAGTTCCCTGTTGATTTTACAGGATATAACTGGAGCTGTTGCTGGTTATGAGGTACCACCACCACAGAATGTATTGAAACTTCCAGTTGTTCGACAGGCGGGGAGGTTTGGGTCAGCAACTCTGTATTGGGAAGCCATTCATTCAACGGCCAGCTTTGAAGATTTCACACCATCATTTGGAAACCTTACATTTGCAGATGGGCAGGTATGTGCTTGGTGAAAGCTTAACTATCTCTAGATTAAAAGTTTAAGAGTTTCTCAAGTTTTCTTTGAGCAGAATTTACATCTTTTCAGTGAAAATATTTTATGTGTGGCCTTATGCGTGTGAATAATGCTCCTGACTTCAGTCCTTTAACGTGGAGAATCAGAATGTTCATAAACATTCAACAGATAAGGTTTTATGCCTTTGATGCCTCTGCAGGTGAAGACATAATTTCTAACAATAAAAGCTGGTACATTGAAAATTTGTAACATTACCTGTCTTCTCTATAAATTCTCAGAATAAGCCTATGTGTTTTCTTAGCTGTGCACTGAATATTCTCTTAAATATCATTCTTGCCCTGACAATACTGAGTGTATACAAGAGGATTTGATTTCAAGTGAACAGAGCTGGTCTTTGGCAAATAGAACTTTATACTTCATCAACAGAATTCTCACCAAAGCAGAGCTGTCTGCTGGTTTCAACATACAAGATTCGTGTTCATGGAATTAAAGGCACTTTTGAAATTTTATTATCTTTTTATAACTATACAAGTATGATAAGAAATAAGCACAACTGAACAATACGTATTAATCTATTATTAGATAAAATTTACCTATTTTAATTTCATTTTTTTTCCAAATTATGAACAGAATGTTATAAATGAAACTTCATTGCTCTCTTATTTTTTAACAATTTCTGCAGGCTACAGGAGAAATAGAAATTACAATCGTAGATGACAGTGAAGTTGAATTCCTTGAGATATTCAAGATTTCCCTGGTGAGGGTCACAGGTGGTGCAAGACTAGGGGATGACACTCTGGTAACTGTCACTATTCCGCCAAATGATTCCCCTGTTGGAGTATTTGGGTTAGAGGAAAAGAACGTAAGTTTGATTTGGATTGAAATCTTTTCTACTAAAGCTAGGTAGTGAGTTTGTGTTACTCACACATAGCCTGTTTTGGTAAGCCTTCATTGCAGCGAAAGATGTGACTTCATTGAAAGGCACATTGGCAGTTGTCTTCATCTAGCTGTGTAGGATGGTAACGAGAATGAAAGTGCTGCTGTAAAGATGTAGATTTCTGTATGGCTGATTCAATTTATTTCAGTATATTAACAATTCAGGATATCTCATGTTGGATTTCTGGCAGTCTGTTGAATGTTAGAATGGTTTTGTAATAACCTCTATTCCTGAAAGTAGATTTTGGAAAGCAATTATGAAATGTATCCCCTCTTAGTTCTTGTCAGTGAGTGATTCTTCTGCTCTCCATTTTGCTGGTGCTGTGCCGACTTGTGACTCATTGTAATTGTTTTGAATCATAGAGCATACAGAAATAACGAGTGACTAATCTTTGCTAGCAGAATTCAACATGTTCCTTACATTCTTCCTGTTCATTTTCACTCTTGCCTTCATTGTCACCGATGATGCTTTTCGTTGTTCAGCTTCAGCCAGTACCGATGCCCTTTGCTGCTGCCTTTCCCACTTCCTCCTTCTCTTTTTTGATCAGGTAACAGTGAGGGAACCTCAGACACCTGATGACCCTGCTGCAGTGGTATTGCTCACTGTAAGTCGAAGTCAAGGAGGACGAGGAGCAGTTAAAGTGCTGTGGATTCTCGAGGAAGCAGCCAGATATGATCTGTCCCCTCTGAATGGTACCCTTCACTTCAATGAGGTATTTCTGATATTGCAATGAATTATTTACTGTTACATTTAGAAATACTTTCTTCTTATTATGTACATTTGCATGGGATTTTTTACATGTTTGTAGAAGTAGGGGTGTATGTAATGCACTAGGAAAAGACCAGTTCAAACTGGTGACGTTGTCAGTGTGCAGCATTTTTCCAAACAGGAAAGGAAAGCTGATGTGCTGTTTTTGAGCTAGCATAATGTAACCATCAGGAAGAGAGGCTTTCAAATCTAAATTACTTTTACAATTTAAAAAAAGAAAAAGAACAAGAGTGTCCTGACTGACAAGAATGATTGCAGCAACATTTATTGCATTTCAGTATCAGACAACTGAAAGAGAAAACTGATATCAAAAGAGGGAGAAGGATAAATGAATGATCAAAATTTGCAGATTTTAAAAAATATATAATCATAGAATCATAGAATGGCTTAGGCTGGAAGGGACCTTAGAGATCATTTAATCCAACCTCCCTGTCATGGGCAGGGATGCCTCTCAACTAGATCAGGCAACACATGGGGACTGAATGGGAATAAAACACTCTAGTGACTTTCAAACTGGACATAGTTATTTGATTCATGTTTTGTGGCACGTTAACTCTGAAGTACGAGCCAAAGTATTATTAGGCTATTGTTCTTCTCTTCATATTCATCTTTTACAGCTTATTAAAAATGTTTAATGAAGAAAAGTGTTTTTACATAAAGCATAATCTATTCTGCCTGTAAAAGGCTATTTTGCATTAAATAGATAGGCATATTGGGTGTTTCTTTTATTCAGCTGGAAAAATAACATTTTTTGGTATCACCATGAGTATCTGGCAAAGTTTTTCTATAATTTTGGGGTCCTTCCTCTACTGATCAGCCTGAACATTGTTTTTCTCTTCCTGAAGCTCTTATATATGCATATATGTAAGAATACAAGTATGTATTTATGAAGTACTAAATTATACAATATGTACCTACTTTTCCCCTATATGCTTATTTTAAGCATTTACTGCTGCCCACTGACAAAAACGTGGGTTAGATAACAATTTGCTATGAGCTAATCTATGTAAATTTATTAATGTTGATCCTTAGAATGTATATATTTGTTTGAATATGCACTTTCTGATGGAAAATATTTTTCTATCAAGTGTTTCCTCTAGGCGGAAAATTTCTATGTGAATGCAATTTCAAAATAATCATTATTCAGCTGAAAACAGCCAGCTTATTTTTGGAGTGGTTCGAGAGATGATTTTTGGTATTTATTAATCTGTGGCAAAACATTTCAGCCAGATCAGACCTGTCATATTTTGAAAAAATATAAAGAATTTGTCAAGCATATGCATGCTTAACATTAGGTTTGTTAAAGAAATTGTTAAAGAAAAAAAGCTTCTTTGTAATTCCATATTTTGTTTAGTTTCACTTAATGTCTTTATGTGATGCAGACTGAATCACAGAAGGTGATTGTTTTACATGTGGTTCAAGATGATCAGCTGGAGGGGAATGAAACATTTGCCATTCAGCTACTCTCTACGGGTGATGCAGAGATATCCCCTGTAAATGGTAAAGAATTAATTCTGTTAATTACGTTCTCTTTTGGGACATTTTGCATGAGAATTCTTGTAAGTCTGTTCATATCATTTTAGTCTGCAATACTTAATGTTCTATATGCAACTCGTTGATAGCAGTTTTGACTGTCAGATTTTTTTTCCGTAAGTTATTTCCTAGTCTGAAGAAATAAAAGAGAAAGTTAGATCATAATTTTTCATTCTACGGTAGTTCCCGGTGTAGACTTTTGTGTTCAGGTGGTTAACATTCTCCATGGAGAATTCTTTGACAAAAATAAACAAAAAATCAAATGCAAGTTCAGATCTCTAAGAATCGTAGAGTAATTTAATTTGTAAAAGACCAACCAGGGTGGTCATCTAGTTGAAAACCTTGCTTAAGCAACAGGAGACTTCACAATTAGGTCAGGTGGCTGGATGCCTTTTCCACTCAAATTCTGAATACCTCTAAGCATGAGGATTCCATGAACTCTCTGGGAAGCTTGTGCTTAACCACTTATGTCACAAAATTTATGAAAATTTCCACATTATTTAGTTTTCATTAACCATGAGAAGCTTTGTTCTCTTTGTAGGCGTTGCAACCATCATTATTGTGGGTGATGAAGGAGCTTCTGGGGTGGTTGGGATAGCCCATTCATCCAAGCATGTTCTGATTGGAGAACCTTCAGGAAATTATAATGGAACTGCCCTCATTAGGTAGGTACATCACTCATTTTTCCAAAGGAAGGACAACAGCTCAGTTTCAAAAGCTACGAGAATTGACATTTGGCAAGAGTTTCTTGAGTGCTGCATTTCATTATCACTTCTAAAATCGAACTATTTTTAAAATTAGTTCCTTATTTTTGAAGAAAATGAGAACATAATACGCATGTGGTTTTTCAGTATTACTGGAGAGCTCCAAGTATTCCTCTCAGACTTTATATTATTTACAACACTGATGCATTAAAGGAAAGGCAATTCTAACCAAAATAAGGGGGTGAGGAAATAAATGACTTTTAAAGTCACGTTGTGCTTTTCAGGATTCAGTTCACCATTGGTGTCTGAACTGTATTTCAGTATATTTCTATGATGTGTAACATAACCACAGTGGGAACTGGATTTTTAGTTGAAACAAGGTAAAGTTATTTCACTGCATTCAGTCAGCTGATCACAGAATGAAGAAGTAAAGGTGTTACCATACCTTCTAAGAGTATTGGAAAAAACATTTCTTTCATGCACAGCGATATGAGATACTGTCTGTCTCTGGATTGACTATCAAATATTAAAGGTAGAAAATAAAACCTGTGTTTGTGTTCCTACCTGCAGCCTGACACGTGGCCCGGGGATTTTTGGTGAGATAGTAATATATTGGAATATAACACCTCCTCATCACACAGAATTTATTGAGACATCGGGGATCTTGACAATGCGAGACAGACAGTCTGCAGCAGTTGTTCTAATACAGGTATACGAGAGATTTTATACCAGCGACTATTTCAAGTACTTCCTTTTATTTAGTTATTATCTCGGCTAGAAATTCATTATACCTCTCCCTCTGGAAATGGTGTAAATCCTTTTAGTTTTCATTGGTTCTTCTCTCTAGGCTGTGGATGACAACCGTCCTGAGGAGAAGCATTACTACCAGTTTCAACTAACTGGAATCAGTTATGGAGGACTCATAAATGAATCTAGCAGCACAGCAAATATTACCATGGCCTCCAGTGATTTTCCGTATGGAAAGTTTACATTTTCACAGGAACTGTTACAAACAACAGAAGAAGAAAAATGGGTATTAATTTAAAATTCCTTCTTATGTAAATTAAGATATAAAATATAGATATCAATATTGTTGCTCGATCTATGCTTAACTTGAGGAGAAAAAAAAAAAAAAAGAAAAAGAAAAGAGATTGATTCTACATTTATCATAGCACAGTCTCCAGAATGGCTGTCTGAGCCTTCCGGAGTTTTTTAATACCCTGGGAAAAAAAAGCTAGCTGCCAAGTTGCACGTACTCTGTACTTACTAAGACAAATTGTTGTCATTTGACAGAACTATTGAAAAGGTGCCTTTAGAACAGTCTCCTAGAGACAACTAACAGAAAAAAAACAAAACCATTTTTAAAGAAAATGTCCTCTTTCCTTCAGGTTAACATCACTATTGTGCGTTCCAGGGGATCCTATGGCGAAGTTCGTCTTTGCTTTCAGATAATAAATGGGACTGCAGAGGAGGGAGCTGATTTCACTCCTGCAGTGAGGGAATTGTTGTTTGAACCACATGAGGAGAGTAGAACAATTTTGGTTGAAATTCATGATGATGACTTTCCTGAAGGTCCTGAAGACTTTTCAGTGATGATTACCGAGGTGGAACTCCAGGGAAGGTAAAGATGAATGGGGATGAACGGCGAACCCAGTTCTAATAATGGCATAAAGATTTTTCTGATTAAGGCTTATTAAAGCTAAAAGTACATAAAAATTGTGAAGTTGCCTTAAATTCAAATAAGAAGATAAAATTAGAAAGAAAAAGTGAAAGATACACTTTTCTCTGAGTTAACTATATATAATAGTTTGAATAAATGTGACCAGAAAGTTTGTCAGAAAATAAAAATATTTGTGGTAACTGACAAATTGTAATACCTGCATCATAGTAGTTTCACAAGTATTTTTTATGTAATTCTTTTTTATGTTCTTGCAAGTGGATTTGATTTTACTGTAAAGGAAAATGGTCTACAGATAGATCAACCTCCAGTAATAGGAAATATCTCCACAGTACGAATCACTATAGCAAAAAGTGATAATGCAGAAGGCATCATAGAATTTGATCCACAGTATATCCTCCTACAGGGTAAGTTTGCCCTAAGTTTTCACAGTGCTTTAGAAAATATGTCTGTGGTTATTGACTAAATTTTGAAGAAAAATAACTTTTTCTTAATTATTCATGCAGTGGAAGAGGATGCTGGATTAATCATGATTCCTGTTGTGAGAAGGCGTGGAACTTATGGCTATGTGACAGCTGATTTTCTTTCTCGAAGTATTTCTGCACTTCCCAATGGTGTTGACTATGTTCTCCATAATGATTCCATAATTTTTGATCATGGCCAGAACAAGACTTTTATTTATGTTTCTATTATAGATGACGAAGAGAGGTAATTGGTTTTTTGAATATTTAGTCTCTAACTTATCTCTTGAGAAATCCTTTTTTTTAACATGTGTGGTATGCTTGTGTGTAGAACTGGAACTGAAAAGTAATGCAGTGCTGAAAAACCACGTAAATTTAAAAGGGAAAAAAGAATCTATTCTTAGAATTTCATAGTTCTTGTTAAATGTTATGCATATTCAAACATTTTTAATTAAGTTATAGGTAATTTTATGTGTTAAAAGTACTGCTTTGCATAATTAAATATTCTGCTTATTTTGTTTTCAAATTTAACACAGGGAAGGAATAGAACATTATTTTTATTTCGACTATCACCATTCTTTGCAAATGGAGAAATCTTCTACTGTATGCTGACAGAGATAACCTTTGTATACCTTCAAAGAGATCCAGTTGGATGCGTGATTGAATTACTAAGTGCAGCTTTAATTTGTTTTTTTTTTCTCCTCTCGGATGTCTCAGGACCTCTTTTTCCTTTTTCCCTGCAGTGAATTTGCAGAGCAGTTTGAAATCCAGCTGACAGGAGCCACTGGTGGGGCCATCCTCGGGCTCCACTTAGTGAGCCAGGTCACTATTGCTAAAAGTGACTCCCCCCAGGGTATCGTGAGGTTTCTCAACCAAAGTCGAATTATTCTTCCCAACCCCGACACCCTCATGGCAGTTTCCCTGGTGCTGGAAAGGACTGGAAGATTGATAGGGGAGACAGAGGTGGGTCCTGGCCGTCAAAAAACACATGCTTTCCAGTGACTAGGTCAAAAAGCTCCTGAATTTTCCTTCAGGAGCTTCTTCGTGATTCATTTCTAGTGGGATAGCTGTGGATTTTCATCGGGCATGAATTAAATATAGTTGCAGTATAACATAGAATGTTGTTACCCTTTTAATCTCTTTCTCCTCCTGCTTTCTTTCTTTTATTATGATCTAGCCTACTTTGCTTTGAAATATCTCCTCATCCCGTCAGAAATATGGTTAATTTCATGCACCACCATTTAAATTTAATTTAGTTGCATTACTTCCTGAAGATGGTCAACTTTTATTCAGTAAATAATTTATTGAGAGTTTTCTAGATTTTGTTCTCTGCTCTACACAGAACACTGTCAAAACAAAGGTATAAATATGAACCAAGGCAGGACTTTCACAGTCTTGTCAAACAACTGGAAGATTGCCCATAAAGGCCATCCTCCCCTTGTCTCCCTATATAAAACCTGGTTTTCCTGCTTTTGAATTTTTCTAGAAAGCTGAAAAGCATTTAAAATGCCCAAAATAATAAAGTGATGAAAATGACCTCCTCAAAAATAATCTAATTTGTGGGAAATTGTTAAATATTTAAAAATATTCTAGTTTCTAATCAGGATGAAGAAGTATGAATCATCATTTGAGGGATCAAAAACCTCTAATGCAGACACTTAAAAAAATATTTGTCCTCTCTGTCTTCATATCACACTTCACAGGGAATGGTTTTGGTCATGATTATTCATTTGGGGAGCTTTGGAAAACAATTAATAAAAGAGAGAGTGAGAAATAGAAACTGGCCTGTGTGTTTCCTGTTAATGTGTTAAAGAAATCTCAGTTTTCTTTTCTATTACTAGTATCTAGAATTTCACAAACTGGCGTTGTGGTTAAGTAACACTTCAAAATGTTCGTTTATAATCTGTCATGTCTGTTTTTCCAGAGGATTATATGATATCACGTGTACAACTAACTATGAATCTTTTATATTCCATATTAACAGTAAAGATTTAAACATAGCTAGTTGCCAGATGCAGGAACTTTTGTTTCACTTGCATTACTCTGTTGTTTCTTCCTCTGGGAGGCAATTAAAATATGTCACCACTCTGAATCTGAAACTGATCTTTTCCACAGATTAATTGGGACGTCTTGGGGCCCAATTCAGAAGAAGTTTTATCTCCCCTGAATAGTGACATTGGTGACCCTGTGAGTGGATCATTTTACTTTGGAGAAGGAGAAGGGGGTCTGAGAGCTATTGATCTACGCATCTATCCTCATGAAGAAGTTGAAGTTCAGGAGATCTTCATTATTAGACTGAGCCTTAAGAAAGGTGAAACAGAAATAGATCCTAAGGCAAACAACATTACACTAATGGTAAGTCATTATTGCTTTTCTTCTGGGATCTCTGTTGATACTGGTATTTATGCTGCAAATCTTCTAAAAATTAATAACTATTTCGTATTTTGTCATTTGGCTTTTTTTTTGTTCCTTGTACTACTGAAGTTTAACTTCCTAAAAAAGAAGGAAAAGAATCTGTCAGTAAAATTTGGTATATAACCCCTGACCTGGCCTTCTTATTTGTGGATTTCTGTGTTTGTCTTTGGAGAGAGTTTGACTGGATCCTCATTTCTGGGTGTCATAAATAAAAGAGAGGGGAAATCTGACTATGGCAGAGCAAGAGAAATGCATGAATTTGTGGGAGAAGGCACAGGGAACTATCAAAGACAAATTATTACTCCAGAGATACTACAACTAGAAACATATTTATAAAGCTGTTATAAAAAAAACCAAAACAAACAAAAGCTAAATTTGTCCTAGCAATTGGGATTTTTGTTTACATTTTTATTTTTTTCTGTAGAGCATTGATGGACTTAGCTCCCATTTCCTCAAATGACTCAGTTTCTGCTTTGTGGACCCAGGTTTATTCTTTGGACTGGAATGTTTCACCTTGCACACCAATGAATGGGGTTCTCCATAGGCACTGATGTTACGACTCAGTTGTACCTCAGTTCACCACGAATCCCCATCGCAGCTAGTGATTCATGCAGGTGGATGTGAATGTCCAGGGGGTTGAGTTTCTAACCTGATAGCGTTAGAAGAGTTTCTGTGCTCTAGTCTAAGGTACCTGAGTGTTTCCTGCTTTAATATCAGAATATTCAGACACAGCATTTGAAATAAACCTCTATCTTTTTCTTCCTTGGACGGAGGGGACTGAAAACTAAAAAGAGGACAGTCATACTTTCTCTGCTGTCTCTTAGTATCATTTAGAAACATGTTCAATTTAGATCCTGCCTAAACTTCTTTGTGTATCACTGACAGTTTTTTGTCACAAAAGAGCAAGCCCCTCAGTAGGTTTAGTACAACAGTCTTGCTTTTTGTGCATATTGGTGAGTGCGTGGGCTTGGTATCACTCTCTTCTCATGACCTCTTGGTCCTGTCTGCTGGGTTGTGTTTTTACTCTCTCTTCTCACTGCTAATATATTCTTAAATCTTCTTAAGAGGAGAAAACTCAGTAGGAAGAACTAATAGATATATGTCCTGCAGCATCTAGCAATGAAAGGTCTCAATGGTTTGAACAAGAATACAACTCGCTCTACAATTCTTGGGGTTTTTTTGCTTGTTTACTTTTTTTACAGATACAGAAGTTTGGTGATCCCAACGGAATTGTACAGTTTGCTCCTGAATCATTAACTCAGAACAATTATACAGAACCTTCAGCAGTGGAAGGGCCACAAAATATTACTCTGTTTGTCAGACGAATTCAAGGCACTCTGGGAAATATAACGGTATTCCCACTCTTTTCCTTATAAACAGTATGAATTGAAATCATCCTCAGTATCGATGTATGGAGGAATATCTTATTCTGTGCCTTTCAGTTGCTTGTTTCTCAAATTTATTTTTGAAGTGTTGCCTTTTAGACTGAGGGGCTCAGCCCTAGTGCTTGTAGTTTGCAAATTCAGTCTCCCCAGTCAGGGAAAAAAAACCAAACCAGTACTGCAGTGTTGTCTCACTTTCTCTCTCCCTCTGCCCCCTGTGCTTTTGATGGGAGAGCAGAAGAGGCTGTACTTTCATAGTGAGTTTTCTGAGTTCATCACAATTTACTTTTTTTCTAGACAATTTAAAGTTAAGAATCAGACTTTTTTGTGAACCGTCACTCACATTGTTTGTAATCTAAAGTTGATTTTAAGTCAACCTGAGAGCAACCTTGGGAACAGGAAAACCAGCAAGGATATGCTGGGTGTAAAACCAGAAATAATTTCAAGAAACAGTTCAGAGATTCCATATAGTTCTACCTAAATCTTCTGAAGATATACAAAGGAAGTCGTTGCATTCATAGTATTGTTAGAGGAACAACACACCCTTTTCCAAGATTGCCTGTGTGCTTATCTCTGTGCATATCTAAACCAACTCTTGTTTTACCCTCTTTAAACCAATCTGTTCCATATTCTATCTGTACTGAATCCTGAATATGAAAGTTACTGACTCTGTGGGTAATTTTGATTTCCTTTGTTTTGTGCATTTTCTAAACTTGTTTCAGGTTTACTGGGAAATAAGTAGCGAGTTTGACATCATGGGTGACTTTCTTAGGACAGAGGGATCTGTCATCATTGCTGACCAGCAGAGCAGAGCTGAGATAATTATCTACCTCTTACCTGATGATGTCCCAGAATTGGATGAAAACTATGTGGTGCAGCTGATTTCTGTAGAAGGTGGAGCAGATTTAGACCAAGAGAAGAGAATTTCAAAGATCACCGTGTTTGCAAATGATGATCCTCACGGAGTGTTCGCCCTCTACTCTGATGAGCAGTCCCTCTTCATAGAGAGAAACCTGGATCGGTGTGTTCAGATCAATGTAACTCGGCATGCTGGGGCCTTTGGAGACGTGATCGTTGAGTACCATATCTCATCTCATTATGAAGAAGTGCTAATTGAGCCAGAGAACGAGGTGGGACACCTCACAGTAAAAGATGGTGCCAGCTTTGGAGTGAAAAGCGTGCCAATAAGCAACCAGGTCTGTATCACACTTCTACCTCCTGTGATATCTGCTGCTTCCAGTTGTGTTCATCACGGTACAAATGTGCTGGAACAAGATATAAACTCCCAATAGTATTCACTGTGAAGAAGCAGAAAAAAGTTTTAGTATTGCAAATTTCCTATTTTTGGATTAGAACTGAGTTCAGATACCACATTTTCAGATAATAATTGCAAAATCATTGCTGTGCATGTGTTCAAATACTCAGAGTTTCCTTACTTCATTGCTTTGTGCTACTTATCAGTTCGACATTTTATTATTATATATATGCAAATATTTTCTCAAGTTTCCCTTTTGGACTCTAAATAGTCAGTGCTGATTCATGAAGCAGCAGACAAATTTACCAGCAGTTCTCTTTGTTCTCACGTTCTTTGTAATTGTTATTGCAGTCTTACATCCACACTAACATACTTTTACCTCCATTTTAGATCTATATAATCCTAAAGTTTAAAATCAAGATGAGGCACACTGTGTTAGACACAATGTATTAAGATTACAGTGGCTGCCCTACAAACTTACTTACTGCATCCACAATATTGATATTTTAGCTGTATTTCTTTTGAGAAACATGATCAACAAACCATTTGTCTTGAAAACACTGCTTTTTGTATGCAAGTAGCACAAAGTCCACAGATTGTTTCTGCTACTTAATTTTCTGAACTGGTAGTTATAATGTGTTTAGTCAGATTAAATTCCTACCTTTTAAACTAAAATATCTTTCTCAAAGGCATTTATTTTACTGGGCTTGAATTTTACTCTGGAACTGATTAACGTAAGCCTGGTTGGTGGAAGTGCCAAGGATGTGCCTAAAATATTGGGAAAAGCACAGTCAGCTGTTCTGCTTGTTCCTGAAGAAGCTGCCAATTCACAGGTCAGTAGACTAACGTTTCTACCCCAGAAAGAAGGTACATTGCATTACAAAAGATAGCTGATACAAGAATTCACCTGGCTCCTCAAAGTTTTCATCACTGCAACCATTTTAATGAGTCACAAGACTTGTCCAGCTATTACTGTATATTGTCTCTTCTCTGATACAAATTCTGATAGAAATGTGTTAATGCAGGGTCAAAATGTCTCTTCACCTCTAAAATGTAAATAGTGTAAATATGATGGTTAATTTGTACTTTTGTTTACATGAAATGGAAGTTCTGAGACTTAAAGGAAAATAACTAATTCTGGACAGTGCTATTCCTTTAAGTAGAGCAGCCCCAAAGTAGTAGCGTGTATGCAGCACTTACATGCAAGAAGAGATGAAGGTCATGCTGGGTTTTAGTGTAGTTGACAGGCTAATCACTGAGTGGGAAATTTTCCATATATCTACTTTGTATGACAGTGAGAAAAGATAATTTCCCTATTCTGATATGTGCTGCAGTTCCTTTCTTGTGCATCAGGCAAAGCCGATAGCGTGCTGAGTTTTTATCTCTTAAATATTGTTGAAGTTTTTATTTCGTGATTTGTCTTGAAGCCCCATTCTGTCTTTTAACATCTAATTGAAATTAATTCAAATGGTCTTTCTGTAAACGTTGTTTACTACCATATATCCATTTATCATTCCTTTTAGTATCTGTGAGTTATTGTTTTAGTTCCATCTGCTGCTCAAACGAAAAGAATAATTTTTGAATGGTGTCAGGTTGCAACAATTTACTTTTCACTGGTCACACGACAATTTTCTTTAGACATATGTATATATATATAGCTATATATGTGGCTATTGCCGTGTGAACAACAAGGGCAGGTTGGTTTGTTTTTCTTTTAAACAGACACAGAATGCTATATTCAGTGTTTTCTGTATTGAAATGTCAGTCATACTCGTTCCTTTTCCCTAGGATTTACTTCTCAGAAAACTAAAATTTGGAAGTTCTGTTAAAGAGTTGTAAAGGAAGAATGTGAATGTGTATACACACATGCATATACACATACATACATTTATAAGTGCATGTAATTATTGTAAAATGCCTATTTAAAAATATAGTGCCCCTTCATACATGTTATTGCTCGTTTTTTATTCAATTTTCTTTAACAAAATCTACTATGTTTCCACAGGTTGGATTCGAATCTGTGATTTTACGACTTACAAACATTGTAGCAGGGACAGGCCAGGCTGTCATAACCAGAAAAGGAATTTATGGCTCGGTAGTAGTTAGCTGGGTTTCAGGATACCCACCCGACCTAATGACTGGCTTTGCTCAGCCAGGCAATATTACTCCTCCATTTGGTAAGTACTTATCTGAGGAAAGATTGTCTAAGTTGCAAAAGTGACAATGCCCACTTTTAGTTGTGTGTACCTCTACATGCTTCCTCTGTTAGTGAAGAGTCATGAGAATGAAATTGTATGGTCTAATTTTTATCTGTAAAGGATATGTTTATATTACGAGCAAAAAAAAAGAAGTAAGCTTCACAGATTCATATCTGGGAGTTTGACACAGTGCTGTGCCCCTGAAGGACAGTCTTATCTAGGAAAGACTCTTATCATGCAGATTTCTTCTTTCTAAATGAAGTGGAATTGTGATTAAAGTCTCTGTCTTGGCATTTTACCAGGTAAAAAAGAAGATTCCTACTTAGTGATTTTCACTTATGGTTTCTCTCTCTCTTTTCTTTCAGGTACTGTTGTGTTTTCCTCTGGTGAGCAAAGTAAAGTAATTTCATTTCAGGCTACTCAAAGCCTAAGTAGACATGAGTTGTTTGCCATCACTTTAGCATCAGTGCACAGCAATGTCTCTGGTGGGGCTCGCCTGAGGTAAGGAGAAAAATTATTCGTTGAAGCTGCACAGATGCTGTGTAAGAATTGTGGCCTGTTTAGAGGCATATATCTTATACAAATCACTACTGAATTTTAGGTAGCTAGTAAGTTGTAGTGACTCCTTTGATAAATCTGATGTCTTAGATCAGGTGGAAACAGGTGTCAGTATTGGAGATCTGATCAGAACTGAGGCTTTTCTCCAGTTACAGTCTATTTCATATTGCTGGGATCCAAGGTGCTTAAAATGTGTCTAGAAAATGACGAAACAAGATAAAAGTTTTAGCCACAAAGCTGAAGAACAAAAGCAACTTAACACTTTTCATTAGTGTCTCTAAAAATCCATATTTAGAAGATTTTAAATAATGAACATTATTTAAAATAAATAAAATGAAAGTACAAATGCTCTGAAAATACCAAAATTATATAAAACCTTTTTTTTATTCTTAAAACCAAAACCATTACACATAATGTAGCTTTTCATTTCAGCTGTTATCTATTCTTCAAACTATTTTAGTTTCATCCTTCCTTGCTAAATGATAACTAAATCTGATATAACAAGAATGGACATGGACTAATACTGTGTATGGAGAAAAGTATTGGCTTTGCAATATTAGTGATTGAAAGGATCTAGTTTGTTCACAAAAATCACTCACTGTAATCTCAGTGCCATTTGTAAGACCCAAGGTTTAGCAAAGAGTCTTAGTCTCTATGCTTACTTTCCAATAAAAATTTAATATGAACAAAGTAGAGCTTAAGTTGTTAATAGGGCTCAAATCTGGAAGAAATTACTATGAGTAATGTTGAGAAGTGGCAGTTAGTATTTCAAAGTCCAACTTTAAATTTTGAAATAACATCCTTTCCTTCTCTGGCTTCCTGGCTAAAAGTGTAGTTCTGCTAGCATCTGTCTGCTCCACAGTTTCCCCTTGGTACAGGAAGTTTGTTCAACAGTTAAAACTGGTTTTACTCAGAGCGACTGTATTGTAATATAACTCCCTGCGTTGTGCCCACAATAGGACATCATGCCTTCCTTTGCCTCTTCATTTTCTCAGGAAGACCTTATTTTTTTTTTATTCTTTACTCTGTATCCTGTCCTGACTCAGGATGCATTAAGCCTGTGGAGGGGGCTGTGTGATCCAATCACTGCAAAAACATTTTCCAGGGAAATTCTTAACACCTTGCTTTGTGAAGTTGCCTCTGCTTCCCTGTATTGTTACACATTTTTTAATTCACTTTCTTAAAGGTGCAATTGACTGTTCACTGGAAATTATTCTGCTTGGGTGTTTTACTTTTCATACTCCGTATTTCCTCCCTCAGCTTTAATATCTTTTCTTTTTCAGACCAGGATTTACGATAGCTGAAATTGAGCCAATGGGGATCTTCCAATTTGATGTCAATTCAAGATCTGTTTCAGTTGAAGAAGATGTTCAGGTAGTCACACTACACATCCAAAGATTGTTTGGTTTTCGAAGTAATCTCACTAAACTGATTTATCAGACTATTCCAGGAAGTGCCAAACCATTGGAGGACTTTATACCTGTCTACAATGGAGAACTTATGTTTTTGCATTTTCAGACAAATGCTGTGATAGAAATATCAATAATTGATGACACTGTGTCTGAAATAGAGGAATTTTTTTTTGTAAATTTGACTGCTGTGGAAGTTTTGGATGCTCAGCCTGTGAATCCTGCCTGGAGTCCACGTCTGAATCCAGCTTTCAGTGTTGCAACAGTTAATATCCTGGCTAATGATATTCTTCATGGAATACTAAGTTTGGGGCCAGAGCTTATCTATGTTGAAGAAGATGCAAACAACAGTACCCCCAATACAGTGATACTTCATATCAGAAGGACCAAGGGTTTTACTGGTAATATTGAAGTAACTGTTAAAACCTTTGGAGGAGTGAGTGCACAAAGTGGAGTAGATTCATATCCCTTCAAAAATATTGATGGAAAACCAAACTTCACATGGGCAGTGGAAGGAGAAGACTTTGAGGAACAGCTAATCTCTCTGACTTTGCTGGATGGAGAAAGAGAAAGCAAGGTGTCCATAAAAATTTTTGATGATGATGAGCCTGAAGGACAAGAATTGTTTTACGTTTTCCTCTCAGATCCTGAATATGGAGCGCAGATTGTGGAAGGGAAGGATGAATATGGATTTGCTGCCTTTGCAACAGTAATTATTGCAGGTAATATTTTTCCCCCAGAAAATAATAATTAAATAACAGTAAAAACCCTGTATGTTCTCATGGATGTATTCATGTAAAGGTCGGACTTCTATTTGATGATAGTCGGGGTTTTCTAATCCAAAATCTTGACTTTTCCAGATGTGAGGAAGCATCTAATGCACTAAGTCCACATTGCATCCCTTAGCAATGTAGCTCAAAATATATTTATAGATGTGCCTTATATTGGCTCTTGTCCTGTTTATCTTCATGAAAGGAAAAGGCTAAGCTTGAGTGTTTTTCATGCAGATGTAGTAGCATGGCAGGCTTTTTTGGTTTTCTTTGACATTCTGTCACTTCTACGTTGTATATCATTTGCATAAGGTGTACAAAACAGTTTCTGGTTTTGTTCTTTGATACCACACAGTTTATATCTGCAATGTAATCATCTTCTGGTTCTGGGGACGTAGGATAGGGATGGGCTTGTGTAGACATCAGGGAAGAATTTTACTCTCAGTCACTTCGCTACTGTAAGAAAGTGATGTCAGAGCTTCAGTTTTCCTTTTAGACTTACCAGTTGAATATAAACCAGGTTTAATGACTATTTACATGAAAGTTTATAAAGAAGCTGGGAATTGGAACAGTTTAGGCTAATCAAGCAACTTATGTACAAGGTCCAACATGTAATGGAAGTTTTGCCTATTTAGATAGTCTCAACAAAACAAGGCAGATATTGAAAACTAGGATTAAACTGTGCTGTTGGAGGAGTGTACACAGCAACAGAAATCATACATACAAGAGCATACTGTGTGCAAAACACGTTCCCTTCAGGTGCACTCTAAAGCCATCACTACCTGTAAGGAGAAATAATGTAGAAGCAAGATTCAATGGAACTCTGTGAAGACGTTAGTTTCTCCTCATTACCCCTGTTGTTGTTTTTTTTACCCTTGGCTGCTGTTTTGATGAAGTTATTTATGTTCCCATGAGAACAATACAGTGTTTTGCATCTCCCTAGTTCCACACACAGAATTAAAGATGCAGGAAAAAATCTGATGTAACAGTTTGGGAAAGTGGATGGATTGAACAACATTGTGGGTGGGATGAATAAGAAAACTAAACTCACATTCTCGAAAGCCCATCTTTATCCCATAACCTACTATGGCGATGCTGTCCATGTAGAGAGGCACATTTCTGTTTAGAAATAATATGTTTTAAGTATTATGGTAAATATAATATAGCTGAAGTGCTATCTCAGAAACAAGGCTTTTGACACTGTCCTGCACTACTGTAACAGCTAGTGTCTTTATGCTGAAGGACACAGAATTCAGTCAGTTTGCTGAATGCTGCTCAAAGTACAAACTTACGTACATAGATGGTGCAAGAACTGTCATAAGGAATATCCTTTCAAAAATTCTTATTCTACTCATTAAGTTAGAATTCAGAAGGGCCAGCATTTGAAGTTCTAGATAAGTATGGAGGGTAAATTAAGAATAGAAATACTAAAATTAGTTTTCTTTAGGCATCCCCAAGTGATACTTCACAGCACGCTTTCGATATCTACTTTTAATTTTTTAAGCAGTTATCCATATTAAAGTTATAATTTAGTCTAAGCTTAAATTACTTGTTAATTATTTACTTGTTATTTATTTCCTATATAGGAAGTGATCTCCAGAATGGCATTTTGGGATTCATTCCAGAAGTGCAAAGAGGTCTTGTACTTGATGAAGACTCAGAAAACAGAGAGGTGCTGCTGATGGTCACAAGGCAACCAAACAGGTGCAGGCAACAGCTGATTGAAGGGCTCTTCCCACGTGCTGTAACATGCTCTGTTGAGTCACAGAAGGTGCTGTTAGCAGAAGAGGTTATCACAAAGTTTTATAATAAATCTTTGCCTTTCAGCTCCTTTGGCAAATGGGCTTTTAAGTTGTGAATGTGATTAGGTCTGTCACTGTGCTGTTAGGAAGCAGAAAAGGAAAACAAACAAAAAACCAAATGTTTTCCAACTTATAAAGCAGCAAGTGTGAAAGTTTTGCTTAAGGTAAAGTATTTGCATTGCTGAAGTTATAACTCAAATTCTGATCTCCCTGTGTGATATAAGTAGGTATGAATACCAAAATGAGCAATTAAGGAGTTACCTAAGTGTTGGTGCTATGCTGTGTCTTCACTCACACAGTTATTATGTTTTTTTCCAATTAACACGTACATGTGTTGCACATTTATGTGTACTTTAAGCAAGTATGCTCAAGTACTCTAAGTTCCCTAAACTTAGAGGAAAGGCAAATTTTGACAGCTTTCCAGACAAATGGTTACTGTAGTATTACAAAAAGCACTTGGGCACATCCCTGTCTTCCAAACACAGGTGTCTCCAGCTAATCTCACGTTTTCTGAAACAAAAACTGAGAAATATCTGGGTGCTTTATTTTATGTTACTTTTTTGGTTTTAGAGGAAGGAAATTAAATAAAGGGAGAAAAGTTTTTATCTTAAAGCACTTTGTTCCCTAGTGGTAAGTTTTGAATAATAACACAAAGTGTAAGTTAAGTCTGTGGTTTCTGTTCACTAAAGCAGTAACGCTCACCTTCAGCACGTGTATACTCTTGTGATTTGCTTGTAGGGCTTTTGAAGATGTGAAGATCTTTTGGCGTGTGACCTTTAATGAAACAGCTGTTGTTCTTCTGAAGGATGGCACAAACTTGGAGAACGAACTTGTATCTGTGCTGGGAGCTACAACCTGCATGGCAGGTCAAACAATATGCAACATCTCCATTGAAATAAAACCTGATAATGTAAGTAATTATTGCTCATTTGTGTACAGCACAATTAAATTTATTAAGATGAAGAAAATCCTCTGATCCAGGGGAACTGATGTGCAGTTAGAAGATGGTAACTTGAGACCTACTCAGTTCTTCTGCAGACACGTTTATTTACAGGCTTTTACTATCTTCATTACGACTAGTAAAGATTCAGGAAGAGGATGAGTATTTAGTTTAAAGAGTAAATTTCATATCTCACATTTCCATAGAACAATAAGGAAAAAAAAGAATGGAATTATTTCAGTGAGGTGCATATTCATACACTGGACTCTTGATCTTCACACAGTAAATTTTTCATCAAAGCACTTCTTAGGGTGTATCCTGTAAGTAATAACATCTCATTCAACAACAAAAAACCAGTTTTGTTGCAACTTGTGCATAATTTTACGTGCCTAAATCCAGCACAATGATCTGTGAACAATCAGTTATAAAGCTGAGTGTCTAAGATTCTGTGGCCGTGCACATCCAGGTGGTGAGTAGCAAAGCTCAGTTTAGCAGCCATCGTCCTCTAGAGCCACTTGGCATTTGTCACTTGGGTTTGCCTAAGCCTAAAAGCCTTCAGAGGCCCTTCTGGCACTCCAGAATACAAATATCATTGAGGTAACACAAAGCACAGCATTACAGTCACTTTTATTGAAAAGAGATGGGAAATAAAGCATTTTTGTGTGAATACCTTGTGGTTAGAGCAGTCCCTTAAGAAAGGAAGGATTAGCATTGGCTGTTCTCTCAGAGTGGAGAACTTGAACCTTTCCAAGAAATTATCCTAGCGACAAAGCTGAGGTTTGGGGAATGGAAAAAGACAAAATGAAACATTTTTCACATTTTTTTCTGACTCCATTCTAGAAAATAATGTAAGGTGTGTGATTTGGGAATTAGTAATTTCCCACTAGGGAAATCCTAGTTGAGTAAGATGGCCATTTTCATCTTCCTCTTTAAATGTTATTTTTACATTATGGAGCCAATGAATAAAATATACTCGTGGTTGGGGCACAGGCTGCCTCACTGAGTAAGCTGGGATTTTGAACCTGTTTAGTCCAAAGGAGTGATATCATTATTTAATGACAGCAGTGCAGCAGCTGCAGAGACGTGCAGTTGTATCACACGAAGCACGATCGTGTGCCACTCTAAAAAGTGGTAATGGAAGGCTAAATCTCCAGTAAATTTGTGCATGTCATCAATTAGTCAAGATCATTCCATTATAGAGTTACTTGACATAAATTTAATTAAAAACATATGTCATTTAACCCTCTAGATATTTCCTAATTCTTCTTCCAGTGCTTTCTCCATAAGATAACCTATGAATTAGTAAGAAATATATTACAAATTAATGAAATATAAATACATTCAATAAATATTTAACATTTTTAAGGCATATGATATAACATATTCTAACTTTTGAAAGTTTTCAAGTAGTCAGCTCTAATGACTTCATTAGCCAAGAACCAAATTCTACTTTCCTAGAACTAGTAGGGTTTCCAAAAATCCAGAGCTGAAGCAAAAAGCTATGTTTATTTAAAAAATTATCTTTGATGATTTTTTTTGTAAATGCTGGTGTTGTGTAAAGAACTAGTTTTTTTGCAAGTTTGATGCTTCACAAGTGCATGTAATAGGCAGAAATAACGTATTTCCAATGATTTCTAGAATCCTAGTAATCAGATGTCTATTTCTAAACATGTTAAGTTTGTATTGTAGGTACAAGATCAAAGACTAGGCAGAATGTCATGTTGTAATTTAATACTGCTACCTTGTTTTCAACAAACAAGCATTAAGAATCTAGAATTGACTAAGCTAATTCTTTCACATTTTAACAGTAAAATTTCATACCCCGTGTTTCCAGAATGGAAGATTTCTCTATATCTTCATTTAAGTGTTCAAGTCCAATGAGATTTCCTTGTAAAAACATTCATAAACACTAGTGTGTTTAAACACCAAGGCTGCATGTAAAATTTTTTTCTGAACTTTACCTGAGTTCAGTACTCGAATATTCAATTAATTGCTGTTGTAAAACTGATACTTAGGCTTCTGTGCAGTTTTTACACAGGTGAGTAGGTCTTTACCTGACTTTTTGGAAGGCAAAAAGAAAATGGAAGGCATATTCTTCACAAGACATATGTCTCTGTAAACCCATAATCTGGAATATGGAGTTCCTGGAGAGTTTACTTTCATGTGTTATGGCAAATTTACTGCCATAATACATGTAGTATGTAAATAGCTGCTTTATTGCAATAAGTTCCAGGTGAAAAGTGGAGATTTCATTATCATACATGACAGAGTGGTGCCTATTGCAATATATCTTTAGGATATACTTCACTGCATATTTCAGGAAGCATGCTTTTGGTAAGTGTAAGTACAAGTAATCCACTGTGCATACAAAATAATATATAATTTTTTTTAAAGTTGAAAGTAGTTAGTAGGTATATAATCATATGAAAATCATCCCTTATTTACAGGTACCTGAATTTGAAACATATTTTTTTGTCGAGCTGTATGCTGTAAGCACAGGAGCCGCATTGAACAGCAGTGCCAGATTTGCTATTTTAACAGTCCTTGAAAGTGATGCTCCTTGTGGTTTAGTATATTTCGCCGTGGGGTCTCGCTTTGCTGTGGCTCATAAGAAGACAACATTAGTCAGTCTGCAAGTGCTTAGAGATTCTAGTACTTCGATAACTACAATGGTTAGCTATAGCATGCAGGTAAGACTTTTATTATTATTTCAATATTTAACTTACTTTTATTGTCAAATCTCTGTTTATTCTCTAAAGCAAATGTGATAAAATTAGCAATTTTTCAGGAAACAGTAAAACATGTTTTGGACCTATATGGTCTGGCTTCCTTGGCTGTCCATTAGTAAAAAGACCTTGTTTCATCGCATTGTTAAGAGTGATACTCTTCATAGTACCATCCAGTTGTCTGAAATTCTACAGTCACTCAGACATTAAATACATTTCTTTCTTTGTGCTAAGGTTCTTACGAGACTCCAATTTCTGAGGCTTTCTCTGAAATTAAGTTTTTGTCATGATGGGTATGAGTGTAAGATTCGGATACACCACACTTGCTGTGCTAGATCACAAATTTATGCATAGACAGACTACACTTAGGAAAAGAGAGACAGAACTTCCATCAATTTTTGTTTCATGTTATTGAAGTACTAAACTTGAAAATTTTTCTTCAGATTGAACATCTCATGTGCTGAAGGACATTTTATCATCCCCATTAATTTTTGTTAGGTTTACAGCTCTACTCCAGCCTCTTCTAGCTGTTGACCCTTTTATCTCTAAATGAATACCTCATTCATACTGACAAATGATGAAGATTCTCCTTCAGCAGAAGTAACACAGCTACAAAAATGTGATTCGTTCCAGTTCCTTGTAGCTGTGAATCCAGCTTCAGGGCACAGGATGCAATTTGCCAGCACACTGGAGTAGTGCTTAGCGTGATCTGCTTTGCATATGTGGGATTTTATGCCTACAGGCGTTATATTGGGGAAGGTTTTTATAAGAAGCCCTATGTAGGGGTACTCATGCTTGTAATAAAAGGTTTTGCATTTTGTTTTTGTATTGCATGCATATCTTTTTTAACTGCATAGGATTACGTGGTGTTTCCATGCATTTATTATACAGTAGCTGGCCAGTGTTTAAACTAGATTGCAGTGTAACAAATTTTCACATTATTTCAAGTCAAGAGCTGGCCATTTAACAGCTAAATTGTAATTAAAACATTGCTATTATTCAGTGTGTATCTAGGCTAAAATACAGGGGGCAATTCCTTGTCTATTTGTATTTTTTATATAACAACCATTTTGGACGTTTTTAGGTTTTAAGAGCACAGGGCCAAGTCTCAAGGTATTGGTAGTATTGATATGTGTAAAGTAAGAGTTCTCAGCAGACAGGAAGAGGGAGGAGCAAACTGGAAACAGGTGTTTATCTTGATCCTCCAAAGGTTTCTCAAACACTGTTCTTGCCACTGGTGCTTTTATTAACACTGATTTCCCTGTTTCCTAATCACAATTGGAACTGATAAACAAAAGGAAACTTTTCATTGGAATTTACACAGATGATGTGGTCGTTTTCTAGAAGAATTTTGAACAGTTACTTGCTGCACTGATTTACCAATTTCTCCGGTGAACTAAAAAATGTCTGATTAACTATGTAATAAACTCTGCTAATTAAAACTAAATGTTTTCAAAAGGTGTCTAGTATTTAAAAAAAAAGCTTTTTTTTTTTCTTTTACAGTAGGAGACCTTTACTTAAGAGTCAGTATACAATCTATACTTATTACTTTAATAGGTACTACTGAAAAATCATACGTTTGAATAATAGCCCAGAATCTTAGTTTCCAATTAAGGAAAGTTTGCTATATTACCAGATACAATACCAATTTATGATAACTGACAAAAAGACCAAGAATGTGAAGAATGTAAAAAGTATCTGTAAACTTCACACAAGGTAAAAATAGTGCTACTTCACCAGGAAAGGAGCCCATAGAACATTGCTAGATAAGTTCATCTGTGTGCTTCGCAAGTGTATTCTATAGTGTTTGCTTTTGCCTTTACGTTCTTATCTTTTACCATGTGTTGGTATTAATTTGAACACAAATTTCCCAAACCTTTGCCATGCTTTCATACAGTTTTTATGTATCTGTCATGCCTGCCTCTACCCTGAACTGAGGCACTTTCTGCTGCAGACATAAACTTACATCAATCCCTCAGGAATTCACCTGATGGATGTGCTATCTTTTCTGTAATACCTGTTTACTCAGAAATGCTCTGTGTTTTCTGTTCTGTAAAAGACAGGGATCTTCATTGCTGTTGACATAATTCCTCCCCTAGGTTGTCACTGACTTTAGGTGACAGATTGCTACTTCATGGAGATATTTCATTTAGTGTAATTGTTATATCATTCCTAACTGCATTTTGGAAGAGGAATTCTTTTAGATACATTTAAATTTTACCTATTTACAGCATGCGTGTTCCACAGCAGCTGGTTTTGAACAACTGTACCAATCACAATTTTATCTAAAACTTTTGGTTTGTTTTAAGGAACTACAAAAACCTGAACCTATTGGTCGGACCTTCATATCTCCCGCTGTGCCAGGACAAGATTTTTCCAGATCTGAAGGTTTACTGACTTTTGAACCTGGACAGAGAAATATAGTTCTGGACGTGACCCTTACTCCAAAGACGGCATCTTTAAACCCGTTTCCTAAACGTTTCCAGGTTGTACTTTCTAATCCCAGAGATGGTGCCAGGGTGGATGATATGTATGGCATTGCTAATGTCACCATTCTCTCAGATTTGGACTCTCTGCCATTTTGGGGGTTGATTGACCAACTGCATCAGCCTCTTAATGATGCCATTTTACACAGAGTCCTCCAGAATCTGAATGTCAAAGTGGCTACAGAAACTACAGAGGAGCAGCTTACTGCTGTGATGCATATAATAGACAAGGTAAACCCTTCCTACTTTTTCATGAATGACCAAAGACTTTAGCAGTAATAACCTCTAGACCTGTGATAAGAGCAAGATTAGTGTCCATAGCAGTGATGCATGGGCACAGACTGCAAAGGTAAAAATGGAAATTGTGAAGTCCCACAATCAGAGAAGAAATTTGCTTGCCACTAATTAGGGTGGCGTCCCGGTCTGAGCTAAACAGAACACACAGACAAATCGTGCCAGGGCCAGCTGGAGCTTGCTGTGCTCTGAACCAGGCACACACCTGGTCTTTTTTTTTCCTGCAGCAGCTTTGAGAATCACATTGGCAGCATAGCTGAGCACGTCAGCATTGCTCTGTAAAAACTCTAGGGCTAGTTTGATGGCTTTCTGGCTCTTCCGGACTTTTGGAATAATGCACAGGATCTGGAAAATGCATATATAGACACAAAGCTGGATAACATTATTAAGGAACAACAGTTCCTTTGTAGCTGTTGCCATTTTGACAAGGAAAACAGAGAAGGTGCCAGAAATTCTCAGGGGTCAACAATCTTTGACTTGAGAAAGAAACCACGTGGCATTTCTCATTCTTTAGTAATCAAACCCTTATTAGATTCATAGAATCATAGAACAATTCAGGTTGAAAAGACCCTTGGGATCATCAAGTCCAACCATTATTAGTAAGCATATCTTCACGTAGATTTGACAAAGACTGTCTCACGCTTTGGCAGTGGTGATCAGAAGGTGGAAAAAATATTCTGAACTTTCAGAATGTACGTTGGGATAAAAATGAAGGTCTTAATAAACGGTTCAGTGTGAGGAAATGTTATAATCAGACTCCTGTGGATAAAATGTTTGGTTTCTTCTCATTAGGTTGCAGATGTAGGTGAGAAACAGTTACTCACTGATAGAAGTAGAAGCCTTTTCTATGAGATACTCTGTGTGCTAGCTAGCCCAAAACGTGAGGACACACGGGGATATAGCCTGCTTGCTGAGGTGACTGAGAAGTTTGCTTTTTCCCTGTCGACTGGAATAATGTGTGGATCACCAGGAGAAAGGTTGGTAAACTTGAATTCATAATATGTTTTGAAAATATGTAACAGCTTACCAATACAGTCACAATTTAAATAACATTTTTAGGATCTGGGGTGTAGTAATTCACCTTTAGCTCAAATATTGCATGGAAAAGTATTCATTAATCTCACTAAGAATATAATATGTAATGTGTGTTGGAGAATTGTGTTCTAAGACTTAAGAGAGAGTAAGCAACCCAGGATTTCTCCTGGCGTTTTGTAATTTGTGTGCTTGGTTTTTGCTCACTCGAACATTATTTATAGTTTTTTAGAAACAACTTGTAGTTTTCACATGTAGTTTCAAATTGTTGGTTCTTTCTGCAAGTGCATAATATCCTATGGTCAGGCTAATGGGAAGGGAAAACAGGCAACTGCAGAAACAGACAACACTCTTTTATGAGGTGGTTTTAAATGGTGGATTTCTCCCATTGTGAATATATTAAACAACTGGTAGTTGAATTTAGGAAAAAAAACGAACACCTTTCACCCCTGAAAACCAGCATAGATTAGATTTCTATTTCAATTTCATTTGGAGATGTTACTTTTCTTGCCATTTTCTAAGTTGTAGGGCATATGAGGCCCATCTCAGCCAATTGACACAAAATGGCATAAATATCAGCACTATCCTGAACAGTATCCAGCACTTGAAAGTTCAAATTCTTCATTCCAAGGTTTTTTTGCATTATCTGTCTGGAAAAATAAGTAAAGCAGGATCATCCATTTTAATGCCTCTTCTTGTAGACTCATCTGTACATCAGCTGTAGAGCTGAGTATTATGATAAGCTAGTTTGCCATGGAGAGGTTTGGGTTGCAGAGCATAGTGAGCATTTCCTCAGAGGGGAAATGGAGAAACTGAAATGGGTATTAATTCAGCCCTTCTTTTTTTTTTCACAGAAGGTGAAATCATCAATTAAATGACATAAAGCCTAAAAGTGATAGAGGAATAATGTACTAATTGCAAATAAGTTTTAGAGCCAAGAATAGTGAAGCTCAGTTGCACTTACCAGCCCTATTGCTTTTCCCTTTTAACAGAGGTAAAAATATCCTTGACAGCTGCCCCTACCTTGCAATAATGGCTCACAACTGGTTTCCTCAGCAAATCAATGGACACAGATTTGATGGAAAAGATGGGGACTCTATTCAAGTACCTGAACATTTACTAGAGGTCTCTGTTGTACTGCCACCTCCTCAAGAAAGGAACTGTGAATCTGTACAGTTCACAGAATACAGAAGTCAGCAGTGGTTCCTTACTGGAGATAAAGAACTTGCCCTGAAGAACAAGGTTTGAAGATGATGCAATTTATTTTTTCATTAAATAATTTAAATTTAGATATTTCTCAAAACATCTTAAACATATTTAAAATAATGTGAATATTTTTTGTGTGTCTGATTAAAATGAGCACTGACTGTTTAATTTTAATATCAAATTTGTATTTAGATTGTACATGTTGTTTCAGGTTTTTTCTATGAGTTTGAAGGGTCGGAGTTCACACCCTTTGAAAGATAACAATGAAGTAATTTATCGGATTTATGCTACGGGAAGTCGGATTGTTCCACAGAAGTCTCTATGTCTCCTCTGGAATCAAGCTGCTGAAAGGTAATTTTATGAATCTGTTCAGTTTTCCAGTTTCTACCATGAGCTTTTTATTTGCCTAAGATGTGATAACTCTGATTAGATCATTTGCAGGTACAAAATTGATCCCTTTCATACCTGTCTTTTTTCCTCAATTTTTCTGGCCTTCGTATCAGCACATAATTTAATAAAATGCTTAGTTATTCCATCTCAAACCTTTCCCAGACTTCTGCTCTTGACTTTTTTAACCAAAATACCTTTGAGTTTATGTAACGATGTGTTAGGCAATGTGGACAGGCCATAAATCTCAGAATTGCATCACTTCATTAATATCACTGACTTTGTGCCCTTTACAATTGTTATCGGACAGTGCTTCAAGTCCGTTCTTACAAAAGTAAAGAATTAAACCAGCATCTCTGGTGTTGCTTCAAGTCACTGTCTCAGAATGTTCCTAATTTGCTAATATCCATTCTTTGGGCCTGTGAGAGACAGTGAGTAACTGAACAACAACAAAAAAACAGCTGTTAAGGGGCACACTATGGATTCGTCTAGACCAACGTCATGTGTCTAGTAGTGGCTAAAAGTAAATGTCAAGGAAGGAGTGAGATCAGGTCAAGCATAATTAGTAGTTCCCCTAATACTATACTTTCCAGTGACTCCGGGAGCTGAATGTGATTTTGTGTATTTCTTATATCAAATGGTTTGTCTACCACAAACTTGTCTAATCTTTACTTGCAACATCCAGAATTCTAGCACTGCTTTTGACAATGATCTCTATTGGGTCTAACTTTTTGTCAGAAAAGCTTTCTCCTGTTTTTAGTTTGTTTGCTGTTTTGTTTGTGGTTTTTTTGGGTGGAGTTTTTTTTTAATGTTATTGCTACTAGCTTGTTATCTTCCCTAGTTTTTAGAATAAATGTTGAACTGCCAATCATTTTCCATTCTTGTTGCTACTGACAACATTGCGGACCATGGAATAAGGTTTTCTTGTATGCTCTTCAATGCCCGATTGTTTGATGAAACTGTATCTTTCCTCTTCACACAGTATAAACGAATCTGGTGATTATTATGTTTTGTATCCTGCTGAGATCTGTTCATATATTATTTCATTAGACAGATTGGATTATATCAGTCTGTCAGTGATGTAAACTATTTCTCTTCAGAAATGAGGTGCAGCAGAATTTACCTGTATGCTCTCCTTTTATCAAGACACTGTATCACAGAGCCCATGGGATTTCCACTAGAAATGGCTTAGGTTGTCACCTGTAGTATCCTGTTTCAAAATAAGTCCAGCGATACTAAAAAAAACCTCAAACGTGAATTTTAGTTTCAAAGCAAAAAGTAGCAGAACAAAATGAAGTGCTTACCATAATGTAGTATTGTGTAAGTTAACTAACAAACTATTTTAGAAGTCAGACAGACCTGTAAATCTTACAGAAGTTTTAAAAACATGGCCACAAAAAATTCTCTGCTGGAAAAAAATGTTCATTGTCATATGTTTACAATTTTTTCAATCATAAAAGCAAACCAAAAAGCTATAATTATTCTCAATTTTATCTTCATGTGTAATTCTGAGAGCTGCACCTGAAAGATCACACAAAACACCTATACGATAGTTCAGAAAACACAGTATTTCAGAGATACAATGACAATTTTCAAGCCTGCTTACCATATAAATTGCACAAGTCCATTTCCCACTTTGTGAATATTTTGTTTTGCAGCTGGCTGTCTGACAGCGAGTTCTGCAAAGTGGTTGATGACACCTCAGACTATGTGGAGTGCTCATGTTCTCATATGTCCATTTACGCAGTTTATGCCCAAACGGATAACTTGTCTTCGTACAATGAGGCTTTTTTCTCTTCTGGATTCATCTGCATTTCAGGTCAGTTGAGTTTTCTTATTGGTAACAACTGTTGACCGGTAAGACTGGTTGATTTGCCATCTGGTCTGGTACTTGCACACTGACACATTTTGCCACTGAAAAAAAAAAAAAAGAGAGGGGAAAAAAAAAAAAGTCCAGCAAAGAAATGTGTTTCCTTGTAATGTTTCATTGGACAAAACAGAAATATGTCATTTGGGGCAAGAAACTTAAAAAACCTAAGTTTGTCTGTGTCTCTGGTAGCAGTACAGTTGCCCTCTTTGTCAAATCACTGAACAAACATGTTAAAGGGATTCTTAGTCCAACCTTAAGGCACTGCAGTGGGCTTCTTGGTCTGCTCTTTGCAAAGTTCATGACTCCTGAAATAGATCATCACGGTATGAGTAACAAAAACATAGCAAAGCGGCTAAATCCCTTTCTTTTCTTTTTTTTTTTCTTTTTTCTTTTTTGGTAGGTTTCACTTTGGCTATTATCTCCCACCTATTCTGCACCAGATGCGCAATGTTTGCAGCTAAACTTCTCACTCACATGATGGTTGCTTGTTTGGGTACTCAGGTAAGAAAAAAGGCTGAAATCTCTAAGTGCAAATTACGTGTATCTTTACTTTCCTTTTCCTCACTTCCATGTCCATGTCTGAACAGATCTTCTTTCCTTTTTCACAAAGTTTTGGAAAATGTGAAATTTCACTATATAATACTTATAATTAATCCAGTATTCATATCCTATGTTGGGAATTCAATTGAAATGATGCATATTCTGATAATATTTATAGAAAACTTCTGGCTGATATAGCCACATGAGAAGATACTCCTGTGTGTGGAATAGCAAATGTTTTGATGACGAGGTATATAATAGAAACACAAGAGTTTGGTCATTAACATAATGGACGAATGTGTCATGTCAACCAGTAGCTACTTGAAACAGCCCAGTGTTACCTGTAAAAGTTTAGCAACTGGCTTGTCTCTCAGAGAAGCTTTTGTATACTGCCTTGATTAGTATTTAATTTTTTTCATGTTACCTCGTGATATAGTTCTTTGTTGTACAATGGAATGCATTGATAACGTTCATCACACAACAGGATGTAAAATACAAGGAGCGGGAAAGGTTCTCACAGTACTTCTAGAGATCACTGGATACCAGCAAGTTTCTTGCATCTTAGGGTGTGAAAGTATTTTGACATTTCAGTTCTTGGTTTTTGAAACAAGTACTTCATGATTTTTAATAGTTTTATGTGGTTACATGAAAAAATAATTTGTTCCAGGGACCCGTAATGTACGTGGTTACTAGCATACAAATTTGCAGACTTAATCTGGGATATGTAGCTCGGCGTGCAGGTAAGGACTTGCATATGGTAGTGTGTCAAAATTATGCAAAAAAAAGATTACTGACAGCCTTACAGTTGTCCTGGTTCAAGCTGACTGGCACAAAAAAACGCACTGTCTCCAGCTCACTTCTCTCCCCACCCTCACCCCAGTGATGTGGAGGGAGACAATTCAACTAAAAAGGCTCAAGGGAGGGTAATAATCTTTTTCAGAGAAGTCGATTTGTTTTGCTTTGTTTTGTTTTGTTGTCTCTTTTTTTTTCTGTAAGAACTCCCCACCAGGTCCTCTAGAACCCCTAAATTGCCACAGGTGCAGATCTTCGTGGTAGTAGCAAGTATTCAAACAAGAGCTTTGAAGGCTGAAGCAGAGCAGGGTTCTATGTGAACAGCAGTTGAATGTCTTAATTTACACACAGAAACACACATAATTCTTCTTCAAGTTGGACAGTTCCAGCTTTCTCAGCCTCTCCTCATAGGAAAAATCGTTCACCCTTTAATCATCTCAGTGGCCCTTCCAGATTCTGTCCAATCTGTCCATGTCTCTCTTGTACTGGGGAGCCCAGTACTGGGCAGAGGACTCCAGATGTGGCCTCAGTGGTGCTGAGCAGAGGGGAAGGCTGACCTGCATCGACCTGCTGGCAGAGCTTTGCCTAATGCAGCCCTGGATGCCTCCAGCCTTCTTTGCAGCAAGTGCACATCGCTGGCTCATGTTCGATTTGTTGTCCACAAGGGCCTTTGATGTCCACAGGGCTTTTTCTGGCAAGTTGCATTTTAGTTGCGTGGCCTCCAGCATATGTTGGTGCATTCATCTGAGGAAAGTGAGTTTTGCTATTTTGGCAGTGATTACACAGTTAAAATCATAGAATCATAGAATCATTTAGATTGGAAAAGACTGATAAGAACACAGAGTCCAACCATTAACGTAACACTGCCAAGTCCACCACTAAGGCATGTCCCAAAGCTCCGTGTCTACACATCTTTTAAATGCCTCCAGGGATGGTGACTCAACATTTCCTGAAGTCTGTTGCATGTGTTTAGACCTACTGAGTCATTTTGTTTGGAAGACATTTCTGAAAACTTCCTGATTTAAACTCTTCCTCAAAGCAAGCCCAGTTTACGTTGCTCAGGACCTTGTCCAGTTGAATTCTGAGCATCTTCAGCAATGGAGATTCCACAAGATCTCTCAGCAACCCAGTCCAGTGTTTGAATATGTAATGTGAAAAGCGTCTCCTAATATCTAGTTGAAATTTAATTTTTTGCAGCTTGTATCCATTGTCTCTTATGCTGTCAGTATGCACCTTCAAGGATAGAATCATAAAATGTGTTGAGTTGGAAGGGACCTTTAAAGTTTGTCTAGTCCAACCCCCCCTACAGTGAGCAGGGACATCTTTAACTAGATCAGGTTGCTCAGAGCCCCATCATGCCTGACTTTGGATGTCTCCAGAGATGAGACCTCCACCACCTCTCTGGGCATCCTGTGCCAGTATTTAACCACGCACCTTTTTTAGAACTTCATCCTGATAGCCAGTCTAAATCTACCCTATTTTATTTTAAAAGCATTACTCCTTGCCCTGTTGCAGGCCCTGCTGAAAAGATTGTCCACATCTTTCTTATAGGCTCCCTTTAATTACTGAAAGGCTGCAAATAAGGTCTCCCTGGAGCCTTTTCTTCTCCAGGCTGAATGGCATCGACACTCTCAACCATTCTTCACAGGAGAGGTGCTGCAGCCCTCTGATCATTTTTGTAGCCTCCTCTGGACCCGCTCCAATAGGTCCACATCTTTCTTGTGCTGAAGAGTTTGGTTCCCTCATTTCTAGGCATTAGTACGACGTACTTTATAAGCTGTCGCCATCCCACACTCTTAGGACTGAAGAACCCTAGTTCTTCTGTAGATTTTGTGGTCTGAATGTCTTGGTGGACTTTGACTGAGCTGGTTCCAGTGTGTCAGTTTCCCACAGTGGAGATCCCAGCTGTATCCAGATGTGGTCACAAGCGCTTGAAGGGAAGCAAGGAATCACTTCCCTTTACCTTTTGCTAGTGTAAATCAAACAGCAAGGCATACTGCTGACTCATGGTCAACTTGTCATCTGCTGGAACCCCAGGTCTTCTTCTGCAGGGCTGCTGCATTGCCATTGGTCCCCAGCCTGTGCTGTTACATACACAGCTGTCACCAGCTATATGACTGGGCTTGGTCAGAAGTCAGCCCATTTCTCCAGCCTGTTGAGTTTCCCTTCAACAACAGCCTTACAACTCACCTGCACCCAGATCTTGGGGTCCACCTCAAACTTCCAATGTGGCCCTCTGATCAAGCTCCAGCTGGATCTCATACTGTAGATCACAACCCTTTGAGCCTCATGGTGCAGGCAACTTTCATTTTATAATCTATCTAACCAAAGTGTGTCTTGGCATTTTAATGCTAATGCTGTGAATACCCCAGAAACCGCGTGAAAGTCCTTGCTAAATTTAAGGAAAACATTTGCTTGCCTAAGCCTCATATTGTATGCCCAGACGTTCTTACTACTGACAATTCTAGGTTTCAAATAGGAACTCTGTTGTAATCTCATGGACATGGCTGGAGAACAGCTCAGGTAGAGACTAATGGCCAGGGATGAGTTTACATGGAGCTGCTGGGCATTGGAGCAGAGGGTGAGACACCAGACAGAAATGCACTCAATGCTCTGATGTAAGGGCAGCTTCTCTCATTTGTACATTGACCTCAGTTAAGCATTTTAGGTATGAAGAGAGAGTTTGAATGTCTTCCTTTTCCAATAATTCTTCTTATAAGTAGAAAAAAAAAATGAGAATTAGTAAAACTATATGTAAAGAAAAACTATCTGAAAGGCATGTATTTCATGGGTGGAGAGAATTGAGAATAAACGCAGGAAGAGAGTACAGGAGGTAAAAGATTAAGATAGAAAGGATTTTCTACTAAGATGTAAGAGTATAACATTTTCATTATTGCCTTTCTTCGTGTGCAGAGGCAATACTGAGAAGTCTCGTATCTGGCGACTTGAGTATTGTGCTTGACTCTAGCTGCTGAAGGACCTCAAAAGTGAGGAAGTCAAATTCAGCTTGGGCCCACAGGCACCCATATCCAAAAAAATAAATTCATGCGTATAGTTAAATTTAAATTTATTTACAGGATGTAAGTTCCCCGCCAATTTAAAGGTTCGGTATCGGTTGAGACAAAGATCAAGCTCATGCACTAGCCCTTGACAAAAGAGTGATAATCCAGATTATCATACACTCACCTCAATCAAGCCGGGGGTTCCCTTTCTCGTCTTGACTGTTCTCACTAAGGTACCATAAAAAGGAGGGATTCCCGTTCTCCCTTTTAACCTTGCCAGGGGGTACCTTTACCAGGTGCGGTTCCCCTTCTCACCTGATGAACCTTGCCTAGGGATCCCCTAGACCAAGGGGCACACCTCCTCAGGCCACTGCCACGAGGTAACTCCAACATGGCCACTGCGAAGCCCTCTTTTAAAACCTAGCCAATGATGACGGTGGTCAATCATAGCCATCTCGGCTTCTCATTGGCTGCTGGCCAACTTCCTGGGTGTAACCGAGTTCTGACCAGCTCAGGTTTCTGGACTAGCCCAGGTAGGCAGAGTCCCTGGAATCTGCCTAGCAACAGCTTAGCTGGGGGGAGGAAATACCTGCCACACACTGATCTGTGCAGAATAATTCTTGAAAACACTTCACAATGGTGTGTAAATATAATAATTCAGTTTAATTACAGAGGTACCATTTAGAATGGTTCTAAGTCCTTTTGCTATTCATCCTCCACCCCTAAAATCCATGGCTCTCCTGCTTTGTTTTCCTTTTGCCATGTAATTATTCTGCAGGTTAGGAATAAAACCTGTAAAAGAGTATTTTTGCAGGTACCTGCTAGTTACCCAGTTAGCTAGCTTGGGTAGGAACTAGAGGCAGCTCGTCAGCAGCTGTTGAAGAGAAGAAAGTGGCTTTAAGGCAGGGTGGAAAGAGGAGGGTATGTTTGACAAGAGTGACCTGAATGACTGCGCTAGCTGTTCTGAAAAGCTAAAGGAAAAATCTTCGTACAGTTACTTGTGTTGTGATGTGTTGGCGTATGTTCTGCCTAGAGAGAGCCAGACTGATTAGGAAGCCTAAGTTTAACAGAAATCTCTAAATAGAGGGTGATTGTACAGCTAGACCCACCTACAACTATTTGGATGCTATATGTATGATGAGATACGTACAATACAATTAAGTTTTG